AGGAAGAGATGCACAGGGTGAGGACATCCCGTAAACCTGGTGACAGCCCTTTGTCACTCCTCAGCCCCTCCCCCAGGTACCTCGCGGGAACCTGCCTTGTGTCCCGGGGAGCTGGGTCTCAGGCCCTTGGCCCGGGCACCTGTGGGCACTGCTCACCCGCTCTGTGCCGCCCCACGCCCTTCCTTGCAGGCTAGTGACTCGGTGCCATAGGGAGACGGGCGCTGTGCCCAAACCAGCACAGTGCCCCCCTGGCACAGACGGCCCCGCGCTGCATTGATTAAACCATCTGCAGTGTTAAAACCCTTCCTGTCCATTCCCACTTAATGGCCGTAGCCACGCTGTGAGCACAGGTCAAGGCTCGCACAGGGGGACACTGATACGAGCGGTTCAGGGGCCTTCCTGAGGCCGTCTGGGGGTGTGGGGAGGCCGGGTGCGGGTTCTGGGAGTGGGGGGAGCCCGCTGGGTGTAAGGAGGTCTGGCATCCAGAAACCCACTGGAGAGACGGGGGTGTCTCTCCTGCAAAGTGAGCGAGCTCACAGCGCGGGCCTCGAGCTTCGGCTGCGGGTGCTGCCTGGGGAGCTCTGGCCACTGTCCTCACTCCCGTGGGCCCCACCCTCTCCCTGCCCCAGGCCGGGGTCATCTCAGTGTCAAGTTCATGAGACCTTTTCTGGTGACAGTCTGACCACCTGACCCTGGCGGCCCCACCGCGGACGTGGGGAAGCTGTCAGGGGGCGAGGGCGCTGGTCCAGACGGACTCTGAAGGGGGGCAGCAGGTTTCCATTCTGCACGGTGGGGGGGCACCCGGCCCTAGGCCCTGCCCCCCAAGCTCCTGGTGGTTCCCCCACAGCCATCACCTCCATCCCCAAAGTGCGGCCACCAAGTGTCACGGCCCCTCCGTCCTGCGGGACAGGCCGGTGCAGGGACGCACTTCTGAGAGGGAGGTGCGTTTAAGCGCCTCCTGTGTGCCGAGCCCTGCGGTGGCCGGGACACGTGCTACTGCTCCATCCAGGCCCCCCCCCCCCGCCCCCCCGTAAGTCCGAGGGCCGTGCTGACCCTGCAGGGGACACTGAGCTCCTCCCTGTGTCCTCCGTTCCCCCCGCAGGGCAGGATCGGGAGGAGGGGGTTAGGGGGGGAGCCAGCCCACCCTCGGGTCCCTCCCACACCTCACCAGCCACCCGCCTGGGGCAGGTCATCCCCCTGCCCCCCCCCCCCGTTTCCTCATCTTCACGGGGGACCTGAAATCACCCCCAGATCTGAGGGAATCGGCAGGCACAGGCATGCCCTGTCAGTGCGAACCCCCTGCCCTTCCTGTCCACCTCCGTCTCGGCTGGCCGAGTGGTGTCAGGTTGGGTTCACGGCCCAGCACAGAGTGGGAGGGTCCCTGCCTTCCTACCTCTGTCCCCACCGCCCAGAGTGGCTGCTCAGTCAACGAATTGGTGCCAACAGGCTAAGAAACCGTGGGGATTTAGTCCTGTTCTCCTAACGGCTGCTGGCTCAGGAGCCCCGGGTCTGCTGGAATGTTCTACCTCGTGCTCTGGGTGGTGCTTCTTGGGTGTAGACATTTGTCTCAATCCTTGGGGTGACACTGAGCCCCAGGGCCGCCCCTCAGGTCGCTGCCCGCACCCCAGGAGGCCTCTCCCGAGCCAGGAGCCTGCGGGCCGCGGTGGGCACCGGGCGGGCACCGTGCAGACGAGTGCCGCCCAGGTAGATCCCAGGGCGCCGAGGTGGCCGGACGCTGAGGCCAGGCCCGTGGGAGCGCGTCAGCCGTCACACGTGGAAACTAGATTTCCTAAAGGACCGTTTCCCGAGGTCCAGAGGGCGGAGGGGGCCGCTGTCAGAAACTCCCATCGCCGAGTCTGGTCCTGGTTTGCTTTTGAAGATGCCTGCCTGGTGGGGCCTCCGCATCCCAGGGCCCAGGCAGTGGCTCAGGGGCCTCCCCAATATCGGATGTTGGGGAGCACGAAGTGAGGGGGGCAGGTGGTCTGTGGGGACCAGGGGAAGGGCAGGAGCCAACTATTCCATATTTTCCTGTCGCTCCAGCCCCCAGGCGGCCGCCCTGGAGACATCCCCAGTACCAGCTTGCCTCAGACCAGAGGGAGGCCCCCCCAGGGTCTTCCCGCGGCCTTCGAGGCTCCAGCCCAGCCCTGGGTCCTCTGTGCGCACCGCCTCCCTCTCCAAGGCTCTGAGCTGCACCCTCACCAGTGCGTCCTCCCGTGGGCGCCCCGCCATGCGGGCAGCCTGCTCTCTGGCCTTCTGGCAGGGCTACCTCCCAGGGCCCTCTGCCCATGGCTTTGGATAAGTTCCGCAGGCAGACAGAGCCGGGCAGTAGGCAGGTGTCTCCCCCTGGGGTCCAGGGGTGCCCCAACGCCTGGATGGGGGATTCAGTAGGGTCCTGATTGCCCCCCCCCCCCCGCAAAGGCCAGTTCTTTTGCAGACGTGGCATTTCTCTGTTGAGCTGTGATGTGGCGCGGTAGCTGGTCGTGTGGTCGCTGCCACCACACAGCCAGCCTGGCTCCAAAGGCCGCCGTCTGTGGGAGGTTCCCGCCCCACCCTAGCCCGGGTGCCACTCTCGGGCTTCTGCACGCCTCCGGATCACATGGTCCACGATGCCATTTCGAGTGTGTTTCCTACTAAATAGCGGAAAGTTACCCTTTCAAGTTAGTGAAGCTGCTTGGCCACACTGGGCTGCTGAGGGGACCTTGTAAATGTCAGCTCAGGCCCTCCGCCTCCACTGGCCCTCGGGTCAGGGTCACCGGGACCCAGCCCCTGCAGACTGGAGCCGCCTGTGTCCTCGGCCCCATAGCGCTTCCCCGCGGCGCACGCCCGTCCCTGGCACACGTGTGAGAGGAGGAGCTGCTGGGGTGACTCTCAGCGGCAGTGTGCCCTCCCCTCTGGCCCTGGGAGCGGGGAAGGCGGGGCTCCCCTGCTGGGGAGGCAGGACAGAGGACAGAGGACAGCGATGCTCAGGTGACCCGGGCCGCTGGGAATGAGTGGCTCTGGGATGTGCCCGTCACAGCCGTGACACGCATGTGGGCGGGCAGCAGTGACAGGGGTGCCTGTCCCTGGCTTGTCACATGCCCCTGAAACGCCCATCACTCCTCTGTGGACGAGCATGGGGTCGGGAGTGGGAGTGGGAGCTGGCGGAAGGCCGGCTCAGCAGGAGCGCCCGCAGCCGCCAGTCATTCCCGGCCGAGGAAGGCGCGGTCGGGTTCCGTCTGTGAATAAGCTGCTTCACACGACGGTGCAGTGGGGCTTACATTGTATTAATATTTACTGGCACCGACGAGGTGGGAGCTTGGTTGTTACCTTCGCCCCGCGTCACGGGGGCTCCATCCAGATGCAAGCAGGTTGCAGCTCCAGAAGCTGCTCGGCCGCCGGCTGGTGGAGGGACGGAGGCCCAGGCGGCTCCTTGCTGTCCTGCCGGGGGCTTGGAGGCTTGGCTGCTGCCCCACCTTCCTCAGCCGCTGCCAGACACCCCCCCCCCCCCCCCCGCTGCCGGGCACCCCTCCCACTGCTGGGCACCCCTCCTGCTGCCGGGCGCCTGTTGCCCACGCGGTGGCTGGTGCAGAGCGAGGGCCACGCGCAGCCCAGTGTGTCCCCGCCGCGAGCAGTCAGCGCGCACCTGTCCCCTCGGCCTCCCACCGGCCTGGGTGTCTGAGGGCTCCCCGGCCGCCCCGGGGACTCCGCTGATGCAGGAAGATCTGAAGTTATCTTTGACATTTATGGCCCATTTTTCCCTAGTAAAATGCTGAGGGCTGTACATGTAGTCGTAAGGAGCTCATTCATGTTGACGAAAGGGCGGCCATAAACTCCCGGAGCTCGAGGAATGGCCTCCGGGTGGTGTCCGGCCGGCCGGCTCACGTCCTCTCCGCGTGTGGAGGCCGTGGCCCCGCAGGAGGATGCACAGGGTGGGGGTGACGGCCCTCGGAGGAAGCCCATCATTCCGAAGGAGGCGGGGTGGGAGCTGCTCAGCAGCCTCGTTTTTAGCAAATTCCTCTGGAAAGACCCCATCTCCCATGCGCCTCCCGCTGCCCGGGCACCAGGGGCACCCACACCCTGTAGGGTGCGCCTTAAAGCGTCGGCACCCCGCGCCCCAGCAGCCGTGTACGCGCCAGCGTGGGCCGGATTGGGGCCGGGCAGTACCATGTGTAGTTCATGGCGTTGGCAGGGGACGGTGCCCGTTCTGTGAACAGCCCACAGGCCGGTGCGGGAGGGCGGTTTCCTTGTTGGTGACCGAGTGCTGAGAACGAGGTCAAAGCACGGCCCCCATTTCCCCACGACCGCGGGCCCCGCCCTCGCGGCCTCTGTCCAGCCGCCCTGCGACCCTCCTCCCTCCCCGGCCGCACTCTCAGGCGCGGACAGAAGCGCTGGTGTCCAGGCACCGACCAGGATGAAGGCTTAGAAGCACAGCCTCTAGAGCAGCGGTTCTCCACCTTCCTCACGCCGCGACCCTGTAATACAGCTCCTCATGTTGTGGTGACCCCCAATTTCATTGTCACAAATTGAACATAATTAAAGCATAGTGACTAATCTCAAAAACAATCTGTAATTATATATGTGTTTTCCGATGGTCTTAGGCGACCCCTGTGAAAGGGTCGTTTGACCCCAAAGGGGTTGGGACCCACAGGTTGAGAACCGCTGCCCTAGAGGCTGCGGGACACACGGACACAGAGGGAACGGAAGACACAGAGACGGGGGCTTACGTGGCATTTCCTCCTCACGGGGCTGCGGGGCGGAAGGCCAAGGTCAAGGTGCTGGCTGATGGGGTCCCTGCTGAAGACCCTCTTCCTGGTGACAGAGGGAGGCTGACTTGGTCCGCTCGCGCTGCTGTAACGGAGTCCCACAGACGGGGGTGGGGGCCCATAAGCCACAGAATGTACCTGCAGCTCAGTCCTGGCGGCCGGAAGGCTGCGGTCAGGTGCCAGCAGGGCGGGTGCGGGTCCTCGCGGGTGCGGGCGTGCGTCTCGGCCTGCCCGCCTCAGCGGCGCCCTGTCTTCCAGGCTCTGGGATCCACCCCTGCCGTGCCGGTCACGGGTCCGCAGGTCAGCTCCTTGCAGAGGCTGGCCGGGCAAGGAGTGGCAGTGCCGCCCCAGGTAAGCCGCCCGGGGCGGGCCGGCGTCTGTCCGTCCGTCCCGTGGTCTCCGCCCAGCCCCTCGGCACGGAGGCTCTGGTGGGCACGGAGCTGGCGGAGCCCCTTCCCTCGCCCGCCTCCTCCCGTCCTGCGGAGGCATTCGGGCCGGCACCCGTCGTTGCCAGTGAGGAACTGGGAAATCAACTTAGTGGGCGATGACCAGGAATTTAAAAAACGGACTAGACCAGGCTGGCCTCGAACCGGGCAGAAGGCATTAGCCGCCTCACAGCATCGCTCTTGATGACTCATTTCTGGACTGGGCCATGCAGGGACGGGGGTTTTTAAATGGGGGGCGGGGGGGAGAATGGTTAAAAGAGTTGATCATCCACCTGTCTGTCCGTCTCCCCTCCCCCCAGGTTAGGCCAAAGACTCTGATTCCAGACAGCCTCCCCGTCACCCCCGGCCGGGACCGGCCACCCAAACAGCCCCCAACATTCCAGAAGGCCACCGTGGTCAGTATCAAGAACCCCAGCCCAGCCCTCCCCACCGCCAACAACACCGTGAGCCATGTGCCAGCGCCCGGCAGCCAGCCCCAGGCCCTCGCGGAGCCGGCCGCCATCACGTCCTCTCTGAGCAGTGCCGGGGTGGCCTACGCCATCATCTCCACGGCCCCCAGCAATGCCGCCGCCATCGCCCCCAGCGCCACCGTGTCCGTGGTCAGGGACAGCATCAAAGTCCAGCCCCTCCTCATCAGTACCGACAACAAGGTGAGGCTGTGCCCGCGGGCAGGCTCAGGGGGCCGCACACACAGCAGGCACCTGCCCAAGAGGCGCCAAGTGAACGAGGCCCCGAGGCCGGGCAGAATGAGACTGGAGGGCAGGATGGCCAAGTGGTCGAATGGATAAATGGGGTGGAAATGAGTGATCGGCGGGTGGATCCACGCATGAATGAATGAGGGCACAAGTAAATGGGTATGTGATTGGAAGAATATATGGCTGAGCGAAATGCCAGCAAAACAAGAATGACTGGTCAGTGCGTTAATTACTTCATTCATTGGGGTAAGTGACTCGTAAGATGTGGGCAGAAGGGATGACAGCAAGGGAGCCCCCTACTGAGGACGGCTCTGCTGGTGGAGTTAGGCAGCCAAGGACTCTTTTGGACCCCAGGTGTCTGAATGGAAAAATCTCAGATTTAAAACAAACTAAGATCGTCTCCCTGTTCCCTCCAAGCTCCTTCTGACTGTGCTTTCGAGGCCTTTGGGGCTACTTAGAGCGTCATTTCCTTTCTTTGGCCTCTTTTCCTGTTCCGGGTTTGGGGTCCATCAGGCTGCCCCCCTCGTTTGCGGCCGGTGTCACTTCCACTTCCCGGTCTGAAGGTTGGCACTCCCCTTCCATGTCACTGCATGCAGCCTATTTCCGGGGCCCTCGCACCCCGGGACCGTGTCCCCAGGGACTCTAAAAGCCTAAGGCAGTGGTTCTCAACCTTCTGGCCCTTTAAATACAGTTCCTCATGTGGTGACCCAACCATAACATTATTTTCGTTGCTACTTCATAACTGTAATGTTGCTACTGTTATGAATCGTCATGTAAAGATCTGATATGCAGATGATCTTAGGTGACCCCTGTGAAAGGGTCGTTGGACCGCCAAAGGGGTTGCGGCCCACAGGTTGAGAACCGCTGGCCTAAGGAGTTGCTGACGGGCTCTGGGCTGACGCGGTCTGTGAGGAGCTGTGGACCCGGGGCGGCCCGGTCCAGGGCGAGCTGAGCAGCTGCTGTCCCAGCCTCACTGCAGCCTCGCCAGCACCCAGTGCTGTCGCTTCAACACTTTGCATTTAATCGGTGCAAACAGGCACCCGCTGTTGAAAGTTGAGTTATTTGGTTATTATTAAGCTTGGATGTTTTTCCTAGACTTTTCAAGAATGCTGACTCCTGTGTCATTTGAGGATATTCTTTGCCCTTTTTTTCTACGGGGGATCTTTGTGTTTTTCTCCCCGTGAATATAAAAAGGGGCATTATTTTCCATCCAGAGAATTCTGGGACTTTAAACTGATATGAAGAAGAACAAAGAGCCTTCCCTTAAGCCCGTGGTCGGCAAACCACGGCTCGCGAGCCACATGCAGCTCTTTGGCCCCTTGAGTGTGGCTCTTCCACAAAATACCACGTGCGGGCGCACACGTACAGTGCAATTGAAACTTCGTGGCCCATGTGCAGAAGTCGGTATTTTGTGGAAGAGCCACACTGAAGGGGCCAAAGAGCCGCATGTGGCTCGCGAGCCGCGGTTTGCCGAGCCGCAGTTTGCCGACCACTGCCTTAAGCCAATGGAAGAGAAGCCATCTTCTCACAATTCATAGGATAGTTCTCCCGTTCTCAGGGAAAATGCCAGTTCAAATTACTCCTGGCTCGGCCCTGAACTGCTTCCCTGGGACCCAAGAAATGTAACAGTTTTTCCCCAATTTCCTGTCCAAAGACTGAAATGAAATAGCTGAGCCCCAGATGGGAGCGAGGCACCCAGGGAGGCTGGGCTGGGCTGCACAAGGCAATTTCAGACTTTCCAGCTCTGACCCTCCAACAGACCCAGGGGTCAGTCACCCTGAGCCCTGGTGGGGGCTGCTCAGGTGAGTCTCTGTGAGGCCTGGAGCCCACCCCCTCCTCCTCCACAGCCCACCCACCCCTGGGCTCCGCAGTGAGAAAAACAGCATTATTCCCACCCTCCCTCGCCCGCCTCGGCCAAGTGGGAGCACCTCAGACACGGTGGCCTGGGGCCCAAGGGGGAGGAGGGAAGTGGGTGCCAGGCCCTGCAGCCGGGACAGAGCAGGGAAGTGTCCCAGCCCCCTGCTCCCCCTCGGCCTCAGTTTACCTGCATCTGCGTTGGGGATAAAGGAGTTCTCCTGCCCTCGCTGCCGGAGGTCGGCATTCCGTGGTAGCTGAGGGTAGAGGCAGCGTGACCTCCCGAATCCACAGCTGGGACACGGGAGCACAGGACGGAACCCAGGCCCGTTCTCCTGCAGACCATCCTCACGGGGAGGGGCTGTGGAGGCACAGGCCCTGCCACAGCCTGCAAGCTCCGTGCAAGCCGCCTCACCCCGTGATCCTGCCACTGCAGGGCCTGTCACCCAGGCCCCCCCGGACCTCCCAGCTCCCCCTCCCGCTTCCCTCCCTCCCACCCTCACCCCTTCTAACCCCCCCCCCCAGCACCCCTCATCCCCCTCCCTGCGCTGTACCTTCCAGGTCATCATCATTCAGCCTCAAGTGCAGACCCAACCCGAGAGCAAGGCCGAGTCGCGGCCGCCCACGGAGGAGCCGTCTCAGGGAGCTCAGGCCGCCAAGAGGAAGGAAGACCGGCCCCCGAGCCAGGAGAACCCCGAGGTAGGCGCTGTGTCCGCGGACTGCTGTCGGGGTGGGAGGGCCTCACGGAGGCAGCTGACAAGCCCCGGCCGCCCTGTGCAGCGGGGGCTCCGAGTGGGGGCGCTGAGCGCAGGCTGAGTGGCCCGCCCGGGGCTGGAACCTGCTGCCTGCATTTGCACCCCTGCTGCTGGCTCCCGGGTGTGACGGGCGAACCCCTCCGTCCCGCCGGTGAGGTGGGAGGTACGGCTTCTCTCCTGGCCCTGAGTCCACGGTGCGGTGCCTGGGACGCTGCAGGGCACCCACCATCGAGCCCTAAGGCCCTGGCTCCGTCTGGCCCCTCCGTGTTCCCGTCCTTGGACCTTGCTGCCCTCGGGGCAGAAGCACTGGCCCTAAAGCAGCCCCGGCTCGTCTCTCTGCTGTGGCCAATCACGGCTCTTCTCTCTGCTGTGGCCAATCACGGCTCTTCTCTCTGCTGTGGCCAATCACGGCTCTTCTCTCTGCTGTGACCAATCACGGCTCTTCTCTCTGCTGTGACCAATCACGGCTCTTCTCTCTGCTGTGACCAATCATGGCTCTTCTCTCTCTGCTGTGACCAATCACGGCTTTTCTCTCTGCTGTGACCAATCACGGCTCATCTCTATGCTGTGACCAATCACAACTCTCTATGCCTGTGACCAATCACGGCTCTCTCCGCTGTGACCAATTACGACTCTCCTCTCTGCTGTGACCAATCACGGCTCTCTCTGCTGTGACCAATCAAGGCTCTTCTCTCTGCCCGTGACCAATCACGAGTGCCTGAAGGCGGGCAGAACAGGACTCTCGAGTGCCTGGGAAGTCAACCACTGCCCAAGGCTGGTGCGGGAGGTGCTGATGTCTCCTAAAGGTGCCCATAGAACTTTCCAGAAATTCTACATAGCACCCCCCCCCTCCCCCAACCCCTGCGGAAGGAGGAAGGAGGACCGGCTCTCACTGCCCCTCCTAATGCCACCTGCACCGATGGAGGTGGGAGAGGCAGCGGCTTTGGGTCACAGCAGGTGAGGGCCCTTGTGCTGCTGCTGCGTCCTGGGCCTCTCCCACGTGCCTGCCCGCCTGGCCCCCTTTCTGCCCCCGCCCAGCTCCCATTTATCGCACGTTGCCTTCAGACACGGTCTCCGCCAGGCAGCGTCCCCTGACCACCCCGCCCAGCGGGGAGAAGAGGTCCTGGGGCTCCCACAGCGCCTTAGGATTCTTGTTACCAATGTCTTTATTGCGAGAAGTCATCTCAGTGCGATCAGTTATTCGGGAGCATGACTCACGCCAGGCTCTGCTGACGGTGGGGGCCCAGTCAAGGGCGGACGTGTCCTGGCCCCAGGGACACTCACCTGCCGGCCGACAGGCACGGCCTTGGGACTGGGGTTAACAGACGCCGGGCGTCACCGGAGAGTGACCCGTTCAGACTCTGAGGTGCAGAGAGAGGGCCGGCTTCCACCGGGGAGGACCCGAGGGGCGTGACCAGCGGGGCCCGGGGAACGGGCAGGGTCTCTACAGAGGGGCGGGAGGCAAGAGGGAGGGCGAGCAGGGAGAGGGTGCTGCCTGGGCAACCGCATGGAGGTGGGAGGGCTCCGCAGGCCCGCGGGAGTCAGCCGGTGTGTGCCCCCTGCACGGATGGTTCCGCAGCTCGGCTCAGTGGACCAGAGCCCCACCCTGGAGCCCTGACGCCGGCTGCCGCGGTGGAACTTCATTCCTGGGTACTAGGGAGCCATGGCATAGCTTTGAGCAGGAGAGGGACGTGATCGTTGTCCTGCGTGTCCACAAAGCCTGCGGGGATTCATCCGGGCCGACCTGGAACCAAGGCTCCTCGGTGGCCCCAGGCCCAATTTTATCTTGACAGACAGGCATTTCGGTTCCATGGCAACGGGCAAGCACTCCCAGCACCTGCTGCACCGTGAGCTCTGGGTCTGGCTCGGAGCCAGGCTCCCACGAGCACCCCTCTGTCCCCCGTGGGTCTTGCACACTCTTAACCTTCGGGAGGGCTTTCTGGGTGGATTCTTTGTTCTCTCAAAGTTATCTTAGTCGGTTATTGCGCATTTATACAATTAGTATAATTACATCTAACTACATAATTATCATAAATACATGTAATGGCTTCAATAGAACTTGCAATTACAGTGGGTCTCGGCATAAAAATCCTGTCAAGGTTTCTTTTTAAAGAGGGCTCGGAGCAGCCGTGGCGCCTTCAAACCTGTGCACGCGCAGTCCCGGTTAAGTGCACGAGGCCACCTGTTGTCCTGGCCTCCGGCGTCATCTGGCCACCCTCGGACCACCGCGTGCCCTGCACAGAGCCAGCCAGAGCAGGGCCAGCTGGGGAGGCTCTGACTGCATCCCCAGCCCGGCTGCCTCTGGGCCACGCCTGTGCGCTCAGATGCTGCCCCCTCCGTACCAGCCCTGCTGCCAAGGCCCCAGTCTGCCCGTCTCTCCCCGGCTGGGTCTCCCTGCCCCTAGATGGGCTCCTCCCTGTCCATTCACTCTGCAGCTAGAGGGCCTCTCAGAAATAAGGAAGTCACGCCCTTCTTGGAATTCATCCACGTACATGCCATCAGGATTCCTCTTGGGTGTCCCCATCCGCAGACCCACAGCAACAACAGATAAAACCTAGGTGGGGACAAAGGCGTGGCTGTATCCAGACTCCAGTTGGAGCAGGACGCCTGGGCTCCAGGCTCAGAGGGGACCAGGAGGGGGGCAGCTCACGTGAGACCGTGAGTCCCCAAAGTTCTTCGGGCGAGAGAGGGATAGAACCAGGCTACCCTGCTTGTACGGGAGCCAGTCTGAGCCTGGGTCACAGCTGCACGGGGGGTGGCAGTGGGGGGGGGGCGTGGCGGGGGGGAGGCCCAGACAATTACAAACTGGGAAGGGAAGGTTAAGCAGGAGGGAGAAAAAGTGAAAAATAAAGCTAACAGAAAAAAAGGACGTGTGCCCCAAATGAGTCTGTAGACGGAATTCTAAAACACAGGAAGAGCTCTCATGCTGGGAATGACAATAAATCAACACTTGGAACAAGATTGGGCGAATACGAACATTATTTGAAAACCTGGTAATGAAAACATGGTGATTAGAGGAAATAAAAAGAACCAGACACGAAGAGAAAAAGAAAAACACACAACAACATAAAGGAAAAAACAAATGAAAAGAAGCAGGCAGGATGGCGGTAGTGCCGCTTGGGGTTGTCCCTGCAGGTGCAGCACAGACACAAAGTTAAAAACACACTCACTGCAGGTGCAGGTAGAAGCAGGAAAGAGCCAGGAGGAGGGGGAACGAGAGCTTCGGTCGCATGGGAGAAGGGCTGGGGGCGGGAAGAAGCAATAATTGAAGAGCGAAGCTAAACATTTTCTAGGATTGAGGAGCATCCATGTGAGTTCTTAGATCAAAAGTCATCTCTGTCTCTCAGGCCGGATGAATAAGAGTAAATCTAGAGGCTAGACATCTGTGTCCAAGAATAGAAAGGAGAGATCGTGAAAACTACTAGGGCAGCGCCACAGGCCGCCACCAAGGAACGGCGGGCACGCTGGGGGCTGCCAGGAGCCGGCAGAGTAGCGCCCGCAGACTGCTGAGAGGAAGGAACTGCCAACTTGGTTTCACACCGGCTGAACCCATTCTTCAAGGGCCAGGGCAAAACACACATCGTTAGACATAGAAAGACTAAGAGGCCTGCCACCCACAACCACCAGTGAGAACTGTGCTGTAGTGAGAAGACGGGGGCCAGCACGTGGGTGTGAGGGCCACCACGAGCACCACGGTCGTTTCGTGGCAGGTAACACCTTTAAGCACAGACTGCAAAAAAATACCCACTTTTTTGTTTTTAATATTGATTTCAGAAAGGAAGGGAGAGGGAGAGAGAAACATCAGTGATGAGAGAGAATCATTGATTGGCTGCTTCCTGCACGCCCCCCATTGGGAATCAAGCTCGCAACCCGGGCTTATGCCTTTGACTGGAATCAAACCCAGGACCCTTCAGTCCACAGGTTGATTATCCACGGAGTCAAACCGGCCAGGGCCCCAGTTTTTTTTTTCAAAACAGGTAAAAGGAAAATTCTAGGCGGCAATAAGAAGTTGGTCAGTGATGTTTTAGAGGAAGTTAGAACATGCTAAGGTTAGCGTGTTGGGAAAGATAGAAATATTAACCTTCCAAAAAAAAGAGAGAAATATTGATTTTAGACTTCATTAGGAAAAGGTATAGCTAAGAACATATACTTCAAACATCTACACTAATTGCCAAAAGTAATAAAATGCCACCTATCACTTCTAAGTCAGCAGAGGAGAAGGAGGTGAATGTGGGAGCTTTCCCCCCAGGAGACAGGAAAGGATGTGAAAAGGAAGGGTGACAAACTGAAAAGACAAACTCATCGCCGCCAAGAAGGAAACTGCAAAGCTGGAACCTGAGGACTGAGGGGAGAGGAGGCCAAATGGCCAAAGGACTGGAGACAGTGCAACCTGAGCTGGAATTATTTAGGAAAAATAATAAAAACTATCACAGAAATAAATACGTAAATGGATGAGCAGAGGGTACCATCGACGGCAGGAGACACAGCGAGGGACAACACGGGCAGAAGGGAGGAAATTATACAAATGAAACAGGAAGAATGAGTTTTTGAACATTAGAAAGTGGTACCTACAGAAGACAAGCAAAGAAGGTACAACAACAGGTAGATAATTGGAGAATTGGAGAATGGGAGGTGTCCACCAGGATGGTGGAGCAGGATACAGTCAAACCCCAACAGTCCCCCGCGGTGCTGTGAATTAGAATATAACACGTAGGCAGGTGGCTCCTGCGAGCTGCCTGTTACCTGTCCTCTTTTTTTTTTATTATTATTTAAATATATTTTATTGATTTTCCACAGAGAGGAAGGGAGAGAGATAGAGAGCCAGAAACATCGATGAGAGAGAAACATCGATCAGCTGCCTCCTGCACATCTCCTACTGGGGATGTGCCCGCAACCCAGGTACATGCCCTTGACCGGAATCGAACCCAGGACCCTTCAGTCCGCAGGCCGACGCTCTATCCACTGAGCCAAACCGGTTTCGGCCTGTTACCTGTCCTCAGATGAGCACGGAAGTTATCTCCTGTGGGAGGCAGGGGAGGCTGAGTGTGGAAGCAGGAGCATGGGCCCCGAGGCCTGGTATTCGCCCAGCACAGACTTCCCAGATCCGGCCAGTGAAGCGGTGCTGGTCCTGGGGGCTCCCAGAGGCCCTGCCACTGTCCAGTCAGCCGCAGGGCCCGGAAGTGATATGGAAACCAGGGGGCACTGCCCTGCAGCCTGGACCCAGTTCCCCTGCAGCAGCCCTGTGGCCCCTTCGTCATGTCATTAGTCTGGCATTAACCCGGGTGCACCTCTTACAGGACTGGGATGCGGGGACCCACTGTTCTTGGTGTGGGGATGCTTCCGTGATTTTGAAGTATAATCCACAAACGTTTATGAAATCATTTGGTTTGCACATTGAATGACCACGCTGGGCACAAGGGGAAATGGTCAGTCGGCGTGGAGACGGCCCAGGAAAGGCACTGACCTTCAGCGGAAGGGAAAGGGTCCTGATCCAGTGACTTCAGAGGGAAACGGCCAGGCTGGCCCTGACCTGTCCACGCAGCACAGCCGAGCGCCACGGGAAGGTCCTGAGGGCAGAGCCCAGGACTGTCCACCCAGCCAGGCTGGCCCTGACCTGTCCACGCAGCACAGCCGAGCGCCACGGGAAGGTCCTGAGGGCAGAGCCCAGGACTGTCCGCCCAGCCGGGCTGGCCTTCAAGCGGAGAGGCTACAAAAATTTTTTAAAAATATATATTTTTATTGATTTCAGAGAGGAAGGGAGAGGAGGGAGAGAAAGGTAGAAGCATCAATGATGAGAGAGGGAGTGAGCCCACAATTTGGGCATATGCCCTGACCAGGAATCGAACCATGACCTCCTGGTTCATAGGTCGACGTTCAACCACTGAGCCACACAGGCTGGGCTACAAAAACGTTTGTGGGTTTTTACAAAATTTTTATTGATTGATTTTAGTAAGGGAGGAAGGGGGAGAGAGAGGGAGAAACATTGATTTTTGTCATTCCACTTATTTATGCATTCATTAGTTGGTTCTTGTGTGTGCTCTGACCGGGAATTGAACCTGCAACCTTCGTGTATCAGGACGATGCTCTTATCAGCTGAGCTACCCGGCCAGGGCTGCAAAAACGTTTCAAATCTGCCAAGAACTTGGGAGATGGGCTCCCATGAGCCCTTCAGGAGAAACTACTACAGACTCAACCTCAGTTGATCCCGAGCAGCCGGGGCCACTTTGGCACCAACACTGAGGCGGCACCTTTAATAACTGCAGAGTAAAGCCGAAACGGGCTAAGGATGTCGGCGGTTTAAATGTTGCCTGCTCCAGTGATGGGCCAAGGCTCAGCTGAGTCCAGTTGAGAGGAGGAGGGAGAGAAGGTGGGAGGTGGAATCAACGGTGAGATGGTCTTGTCTGTTGTAGTTGGGACTTAAAGTGAATCAGAGAATATCATTGACAGCTGGCGTTGAGAAGGCTTTTTAACAGCAGAGAAGTAAAAATTAGAGAGGATGAACAGTCACTGTTTGAAATGAGGTAGAAAACCCAAGAGAATGGATGAAAACTCCCACAGACACTAAGAGAATGCAGCGTGGCGGCGGGTGTAATATTAATGTACGAAACTTTATGGACAGTCCCTTTTACAATAGCAACAAGAAGATTAAATGCCTCGGAATAATCATAATAAAATATCCAACACCCACTTGAAAGTTTAAAAACCCCGAAGACAAAAAGAATAGAGGCGCACCGTGGTTTGGGTAGGAAATGTTAGTATTATGTAAAGTTATCGTTGTGCCCTAAGTTCACTTATAATTTGGACATCATCCCAGTAAATATGCCCATTGATTCCCTTATTCTCAGAGAAATTCCAGGTGGATCCGAAACCTAAATGTAAAATGTGAACTATAGGTACTGAAATAAAACACAGCCGACTTGCTTTATAACCTCAATCTCTAGCCAAGATTCAAAAATCCAAACACCGCAAAGGGGAATATTCACAAATCCCACCACATACAATTCTTTAAAAGTCTGCATGGCGCCCAGAGCCCAGGAATGGCCAGCTCCGGGGCGGGGGCTGTGCATGGTGACCTCCCACAGAGGCGGGCGGCCTCGCAGGTCGGCTCAGTGGAGAGTGTCGGCCTGCAGATTGAAGGGTCTCGGGGTTCCGTTCCTGTTAAGGGCACATACCTCGGTTGCAGGCTCGATCCCGGCCTAGTTGGGGTGGTCGGGGTGCATGCCCGAGGCAACTAATCGATGTGTCTCTCTCACATCGATATTTCTCTGTGTCTTTCCTCCTCTCCACTCTCTCTAAAAATCAATGGAAAAATGTTCTCAGGTGAGGGTTAGCCAGAAAAAAAAGGGGCGGGGGATGGGGTGAAGGGAAGGTCCCGGTGGGAACCCTGCCAGGCGCACTTCAGCCAGGTGCCCAGTCGGCATCACTGGCCAGTGGACAGCACGTCCCCGACAGGATGTAATGAGAAGGCATTTCCTCTGTGTCTTCTTCCCCAGCCCACGACCCCGCTGTAACCCTGAGAACCTCATCGGGCAAATCCCAGTGGAGGGGCCGCCTGCAGAGTCCCTGCCCTCCTCACAACCATCAAGGCCATAGAAACGAGGGCTGCTGAGAAGCTCACAGCCCAGAGCAGCTGAGGAGGCGTGAGGACTAAATGTCACGTGGGTCTGGGGTGGGGTCCCAGGCAGAGAAAGTCCATTAGGTTAAAGCTAAGGAGACACACAGCGAGGAGCCAGGGCATACGGGTCTGAGCAGTGCCTGTAGAATGAGTGAATGATGAATGGATGGATGAATGAATGAATGGACGAATGATGAAATGAGGTAACACTTCTGTTTCCTAACCTCAGAAAATCGCCTTCATGGTGGCGCTGGGCCTGGTTACCACGGAGCACCTGGAAGGTAAGGTTCCACAGCAGGACGGGCTGGAACTGGCCCTCATGACAGGTGGGGCGGGTGGTCTGCTGGAATCAGCCCGGAGCAGTGGGACTCAGTCCCCCTGGTCAGAGGGCAGTGCCCAAGGGTGAACCAGCTTCTGGGAGGCCCGCCCCAGTGCCAGCCATGGCGGCCAGCCCAGGCCTCTTGGAAGACTCCGTGCCTGGGGCTTCGGGGGGCGAGGCCACCTGAGCTACAGCCTGCCCCCGGGAGCCCTTTGCCTCAGCCAGGCCAGCATCTGCCCAGAGGCACCCGGCGTGCAGGGTTCTAAGAGAGACAGCCCCAGGCTGGGTGACGGCCCATGGGGCCCTGAGCCGAGTGGGTGTCTGGACACCTGCCACCTCCCTGCCAACCGTCCCCTCCAGCCTGAGCCCAGTGGGCGTGTCCTGCCTGGGGGTTGGGGGGGCGATGCCTGGAGACCCCAGCCTGCTCCGGGCATCGGTGCTGTGCAGACAGGCTGTGTGACAGCTCCTGGGCGGGAAGGATGGTGACCATGGCGTCTGCCTTGCAGAAATCCAGAGCAAACGCCAGGAGCGGAAGCGGAGAAGCACCGCCAACCCCGCCTACAGCGGCCTCCTGGAGACTGAGGTGAGGCCGCCTTCCGCAGGGAGGGAGGCTGCGGCTGGCCCCCCTCACCCGCCCTCCCGGTCAATCATCCTGCTTCACCCCGGAGCCCAGGGTCCATTGAGAGAGGAGGCTGGAGACGGACATGTCGGCTGAGCTGTCACACGCGCTCCCTGGGTGCGGGTCGCAGGGCACGGGCAGTGGGGCACCTGGGAGTGACCCCCTCGCTGGAAGCAGTGTTTCTAAGGCCCCAGAGTCCAAAGCTGAGGCAGAGGCGTGTCCCGAGGCCGGCAGGGCTCCGGGGGCCTGGAGGGGTCGGGAAAGTGGCCTGCACTTCCCCGGGTTGTCCCAGGTCCACAGCCCGTGCATGGAGCTCGGTGGGGAGGGAGGCAGCCCTGTCCCTGAGGCGGGTCCCCGAGCACCGTGGCCCGTTTGTAGGCGTGTCACCGGAGTGGCGGGTTCTCTGGTTGATGAGGCCCGTCCCTTGCTGTTCGTGGACGAAACCTTCTCTCTCTGACCTGCAAAGCCAGGCCCTGGTCTCCAAAGCCTGTGGCCGGGGCCAGAGGCGACCTGTGAGCATGTCAGGGACCAACGTGAAGCCGGTGCCCTTGAGCCCTGGACACATACGTAGGGTCAAGGGCAGCCCCTCCATGGGCTCCTCCCAAGGCCGGACCTCAGCCCAAGAGACGGGTTTAAGCCAAACAAGACTCTAGAGCAGGGGTGGGCAAACATTTTGACTCGAGGGCCACAATGGGTTCTTAACCTGGACCGGAGGGCCGGAACAAAAGCATGGATGGAGTGTTTGTGTGAACTAATATAAATTCAAAGTAAACGTCATTACATAAAAGGGTACGGTCTTTTTTTTTTTTTAGTTTTATTCATTTCAAACGGGCCATAGTTTGCCCACGGCTGCCCTAGAACAATCCTTCTGTGCGATCACAGCCAGAGCCCCCTCCAACCACCAAGGCCGAGACCGCGTGGCCTGGGGTGGGAGAGCCCCCTCTGGGAGCTTCCGTCTGAGGCTGCGGCGCCCGAGGCCGCCAGGATGCAGAGGCCCTTGTCTGGCGCCAGGGCTCCCAGGCCACAGGCGGAAGTGGGGGTTGGGAGCTAACCCGTAGCACCCCTTGTTTCCCCGGACCCTAGAGCAGCCAAGAGGAAAGACGGGCAGATGGGGCACCACAGTCTGCTCTGTTACTGATTTGCCCCGTGTGGTCCTCACGTCCTTCCTAGTGGGATAGATGTCCCCACAGGGAGCCGGGACCACTCCACCCTGGTGAGGGACAGGCCCCCGCCCACCTCCTCTGCCCGGCCCTGCGTCCCCGGGCCTGTCCCCGTGTCTGCCTCCCCGGGTGTCCGGCGGGGCCCAGAGCCTGGGTGGGGGCTGTTGGTGAGCCCTGGGCAGGGATTGCAGCCTGAGGAGGGCTCCCCGACGGTGGTTTTGTCTTGTTTTCTGTGCCTGCAGAGGAAGCGGCTGGCGTCCAGCTACCTGAACAGCCCCCTGTTCCTCACGGCACGAGGTGAGCAGGGCCAGGCCCCGTGGTGCCCATGGCCACTGCGGCAGGACCCGCCCACCACAGAGCTGACCTGGGTCGGGGTGAGGACCCAGTGCCAGGAAGGGCCCTCACTCCCTCCCACCTCCCAGCACCTGCATCTGCAGCCAGTGCTTCCTGGCCTCTGCCCTGTGGCCTTGCCCGGATGCCACCTGCCACCACACAGCCCTGGAGAGAGCCTCTCCTCCCCACCAGGCAGCTGGCCGGGCGCCTCACACACCCTCATGAGCTGCCCTGGGCAGCACGTGGGAACCTGGAGTCCTCGGCCCGGCCCTGCCTCGATGACTCACTGTGTGGTCAGAGCTGTGTGGCCAGGACCAGACCGCCCCCTGGGCCTCGGGATCCTTCCGCACCTCAGGGCACTGGCAGGCTGGGACCTGGCCCGGGCCTTCACCCCAGGATGCATGGGCCCCGCCCCCCTCTGCCAGCCCTGCCCACTGCAGGACCTCGGGGCCAAGAAACCAGCCTCCACGAACATCCACAGTCACAACACCCACCAGGAGGGTGCCCTTCATTCCCAGTTAGAGAACAAGTAGTCCTCGGGCAGGAAACGACCTGCCTCCTCTTGGGACTCTGACCTTTGACACGTCACGCCACCTCCCGGGCCTTGGTTTACTGGTGTGTAAAATGGGCCGTGAGGACAGTGGCACGGGGGTGAGCATGACAGCGCTTTGTACGCTGTGGAGTGTGCACATGAAGCAGGGCCTCCCACTGCTGGTGGCGTCTGCAGCCCGGCTTGGTCATTAGGATGTGTGCTGGGCCTCACTCACTAGAATGAGTGGGCTACGGGCAACAGAGGAGTTCAGAGTGAGTCCCGTAGTCCCACTGGAGCGATGCTTCCCTCCCCCTATGCTCCCGCTGCCCTGCTCCTCGAGAACTCGGGCCACGATGAGCCTGGTCCGTGGAGGGTCCTTGCCGTGACCAGGGCAGAAACCCTTACTCCCATCATGCCCTGGGTGAGAACCTGGCCACACTAGGGCCTGTGATTCTGTGATTCTCCCATCATGCCCTGGGTGAGAACCAGCTGTCACTGGGGCCTGTAACACTCCCATCATGCCCTGGGTGAGAACCAGCTGTCACTGGGGCCTGTAATGCTCCCATCATGCCCTGGGTGAGAACCAGCTGTCACTGGGGCCTGTAACAACCCATCATGCCCTGGGTGAGAACCTGGCCACACCGGGCCTCATGGACTCCAGTCCTGATTGGTGCTCCCCAGATGCCCACTAACATGTTCTCGCCCTTCCTCCCTGTGCCAGCCAATGAGGACCCCTGCTGGAAGGTATGTGTCCCCTTTCTTCATACCCAGGGGGTGGGGCATGCTTCCCATCCAGGTAGCATCACTCCTGGCAAAGGTGAGGGCCAGTGTCCTGCTGCCCTGGGGCGGAGCAGAGGGCCTTTGGGCTCTGCCCTTGGTGCCCAGAGCTTTGCCCCTGTCCATTTCCCAGCCTGCCCGGCAGGGGGCAGCCCGCCGGTTCAAGCTGAAGCTCTCTCTCTGCCCGGTGCTGAGGATGGGAGGACCCAGGAGCCATGAAGGCCTGGGTGCCATTGGGCTCTTCCTGTCTCTGCCTGGCTCACTGTGTGCTCACTGCCCACCCCCGAGGGGTTACACCGGCAGGGTCTTGCCCAGACACCCATCTTTCTGTGATCCTGTGAGTCCCCAGTCCCCCATGCTTACGCACGTCCCTGCCTCCCAGAGCATTGGCTGGCTGTGACCTCATCCAAAGGCCTGGCTCAGAATTTATTCGGTGTTTCTCTGTATGTTTCCGATCTAATTCTAAGAGGCCTCCAGTCCCTACGTGCCTGTAACGATCAAGCCGCCGAGAAGCAATAGGTGATGGTGTAAACTCCGCTCACGCTGTGCCGTTGTCCCAATGAGCCTGCACTGGCGTGATCGGGCCGGTGGGCCTGGCGCGTTTGTCCGCAGCCGCCCCGTGCCCAGCCATGCAGGCGTGGGGACGGCAGGTGCCTCGAGCCCGAGCCCCGCCCCCTCAGAGCCCCCAGTGCGGGAGGGGCCTTGGTTTCGAGGTAGGAGACCCAGATGCTCGTCCTAGTTCCACCCCCAGCTCGCTGTGTGACCTCGGGCAAGCAGCGCACCCTCTCTGGGTCCTTGAACTGAAAGTAGAGGTGAGGGCAGGGTCTGAGGCCTCCTTCAGAGTCAGCCATTGGAGTCGGTGTCCTGGTGGCACGGCTCATCCCTGGTGAGAGCCCTCTGGTCCCTTCCGAGTCTGAGGGTGGGAGATGCTAATGTGGGTAGAGAACAGACATAAGGTGCGGCAGGGGGGGGGGGTTCTCTTGGGTGGGGGAGATCACGCAGATTGTGCAGGTCACGGGGTTTGGTTACGAACACTCCACTCAGAGCGAGCCTAGGCTTGAAAGGTAGTGAGCTCCCGGGCCTGGAGGTGTGTAAGTAGAGACTGAAGGTGACTGCAAGTGACCTTGCTGAGGGAGGGGTAGCTAACCTCCCCTGGGTTCCTACCCGGTGGTGCTGTGTGTGCCTTCTCGCCGAGTCTCCCACCAACCACAGGACGGCTGTGGAGATGGAGGAGCCACAGGGTAGACCTGGTGCTGTAAGAGGACTGTGAGGAGTGACATGCGCACAGCCCCCTCCCCGCCCCCCGACAGGCGCCCCTGGTACAATGCAGACCCGAGGGGGCTGTTAACCAGCCTCGCAGCAGGACCCCCTGCCCCGCCCCCTCACCTGGAGCCCTGTCTCAGGTGGAAGGATCGGGACACTGGGGCCACTCCGTGACCCTGCTAAATGCCACGGGTGCCAGGACCCTGCTGCCCCTCCCGGTCCCGTCCGGCCCCTCCCTCCTCCTGGAACCGCTGAACGTGGCTGGGTCGCGAGCAGGCAGGTGGCAGCGGCTGAGCCGGCGCTCACCTCCGGCCTCCTTCCAGAGCGAGATCGCCCATGATGAGCACTGCGCGGCCTGCCAGAGAGGGGCCGACCTGCAGCCCTGCGGCACCTGCCCGGGCGCCTACCACCTCGGCTGCCTGGACCCGCCCCTCAAGGCCGCGCCCAAGGGCGTGTGGGTGTGCCCCAAGTGCCAGCAGAAGGTATGGGGGTCGGTTCGCCTGAGCAAACCTGTGCTTCCGGGTGGTCCCTGCAGAGGGTGCCGACGCGGAGGCAGGGGGTGTGGGGGGGCTGGTTGTCGAACAGGCCCCTGCATTGTGCTTGCCCAGGGTCACAGCGCTCTGCGGGGCAGTTTCCCACTCCAGCGTGATGGTGGGGCCTCCCTGGGTCCCGGCTTTGTCCCCGCTGCTCTCGGGTCCCGGGACATGGGAACAAGACAAGTGCTCATTGATGTATTCTTTCACCGAAGAATTCAGCCCTGCTTGTGCCAGGCCCTGTTTGAGGCCCTGGTGACAAGCAGATCCTACCCTCGTCCAGCAGCCCCTGGGACCCAGACCCCACACAGGGACGGCCCCATCCTGGGTCCCGGCTGAGGAACCTGCAGCTCAGAGTGCTCGTGCCTCCCCAGGGCCCCATACTCGGGGTGTGGCGGGTCCTCACCTGGCTGCCTGCTCAGGTCCCCTCTGCCCTGCAGGCCTTAAAGAAAGACGGAGCTGTGCCCTGGACCGGGATGCTGGCCATCGTGCGCTCCTACGTCACCCACAAGACAGGTAGGACTCGGGCAAGGGCACCTGCTCCCTTCTCTCCTCCTCCAGGCCCATTGGAGGCTGTTCTGGCCGGAACTCTGAAAAGAGGGCCCTGGATGGGGCCGTGCAGGGCAGTAGCTGGGAGGATGGCCTTCCAGTCCCCGTGCGTCCAGCCAGGGCCACGGGCTCCTGTGGGAGGGTGTGGCCTGTAGGCGTAGACCTCGGAGCCCCACTGCTGACCTGCCCCCTGGGCGCGGCCCGGTCCTCTCTCCAGTCAAAGAAGAGGAGAAGCAAAAGCTGCTGCAGAGAGGCAGCCAGCTGCAGAGCGAGCACCGGCAGCTGGAGGAGCGGGACCGGCGCCTGGCCTCGGCCGTGAAGGTGCGCGGGGCTCGGGGTGTGGGGTGGGGCTGCCCTGGAACCACGTAGATCCAAAGCATCGCTGTCTGGTTACTGAGGCCCCAGAGGAGGGAGACTCGCCAGCGTCACGCAGCGAGTCAGAGGTGACTCACTCGACAGATGGTTATCAAGCAACTGAGCATCGGTGTCTGCTCCTCCTCAGCTCTGAGCCGTCTCAGCCAGTGTCCTGTTGTGCAAAGTGGACATAATGCTCCCCCGCCGCAGGGCGGTGATAGGACAATGGTGATAGATGTGATGGTGATGGTGGTGGTGGTGGTGGTGATGATGGAGATAGTAATGATGATGATGGTGGTGGTGGTGATGGAGATGATGGTGGTGGTGATGGAGATGATGGTGATGGTGATGGAGATAGTAATGATGATGATGGTGATGGTGGTGGTGATGGTGGTGATGGTGATGATGGAGATAGTAATGATGATGGTGATGGTGGTGATGGAGATGATGATAATAATGATGGTGATGGTGGTGGTGGTGATGGTGGTGGTGATGGAGATGGTGGTGATGGTGATGGAGATAGTAATGATGATGGTGATGGTGGTGATGGAGATGATGATAATAATGGTGATGATGCCAAAACCGGTTTGGCTCAGTGGATAGAGCGTCGGCCTGCGGACTGAAGGGTCCCAGGTTCGATTCCGGTCAAGGGCATGTACCTGGGTTGCGGGCATATCCCCAGTAGGAGATGTGCAGGAGGCAGCTAATCGATGTTTCTAACTCTCTATCTCTCTCCCTTCCTCTCTGTAAAAAATCAATAAAATATATTTTAAAAAAAAATGGTGATGATGGTGATGGTGGTGGTGATGATGGTGGTGATGGAGATGATGGTGGTGATGGTGATGATGATGGTGATGGTGGTGATGATGATGATGGTGATAATGATGGTGGTAGTGATGGTGATGGTGATGGTGGTGATGGAGATGATGGTAATGATGGTGATGGTGATGATAGTGATGGAGATGATGGTAATAATGGTGATGGTGATGTTGATGATGGTGATGGTGCTAGAGGTGATAATGATGGTAAAAGCAGTGCCATGTCCTGGTAAACTCTTTAAGTGTAGTATGAAGATACTCTGATTATTCCTATCTTAGAGTTTTGGACACGGTCTCAGGGATTTTAAGCTATTGGCCTAAGCAGCAAATAGCTCCAAGTGGGGATATCAGTCCTTCGTGCATCACCGTGTTGCTAGGATACAAATACAGGCTAGAAAAAGGCAAGCATACCGCCTGCAAGAGACAGAGCAGGGACCTGGCTGGCGTCTGAAGGTTTGTGCGGCTGCGCAGCTGGGCCGGAGCTGGCTCTGAGCTTCTTCCAGGAGCGGCGAGCAGGCGTGTGGGCAGGTGGCGTTGCAGCGTGAGCAGAAGGTTCCCACGCCCCCCGCCCCCCCAAAACACACTATTTGTAACCCTAAGTTTAAAACAAACTGTGTGTCTGGCTGCTGTTTAATTCCATTTTTCACTGCTGCCTGCTTTTTGTGAGGCTCCCTGCCTGGCTGCTTTCAGGCCTCTGCAGGGGGAGGGAGAGCTTTGGGAGGGGGGTGTGAAGGGGTGCCGCCCAGGATGCCTGCACAGTTGAATTCTGAGACCCTTCTCTCTGCCCCCCACCCCAACAGAAATGCCTGGAGCTTAAGATGAGCCTGCTGGCCCGGCAGAGGGGCACCCAGTCATCCTTGGACCGCCTGCGGGCCCTCCTGAGACTGATACAGGGCGAGCAGATGCTCCAGGTCACCATGACGACCACCAGCCCCGCCTCGCTGCTGGCCGGGCCCTGGACCAAGCCCTCAGCAGCAGCCATGCACACGGCCCTCCAGCACCCCCAGGGACACAACTGACTCCGAGGGCCGTCTTCACACGGCGGAGAGCCACTGGGACCCGGCCCACAGCCTGGGGTCTGTCAGCCTTAACCATGAACAATGTGAATCTCAGACAAGAACAGAGCCAGACAGAACAAGGCAGGAGGAAGGGCAGTGGAGCGAGCGAGAGTCCTAGTTCTCCAGCCCGGGGTGGGGGTGGAGCCCCCCCTCACGTTCAGACGGGACCCCATCACGTTCAGGTGGGGCGCACCATCGGCCTGCTGTGGTGGGACTGCCCAGGCCTCCGGCTTGCAGCACGGCTGTCCCCACACCTCCCTCGTGCAGAAGTGTGAGGGGCCAGGGCGCCCCCGCTGAGAGCCAGCGTGCCCGCTCCCCTGAGGACCCGTGTCCGGTGGGGAGGAGCCGGAAAGCAGACGTAGCCGAGTAGTGCAGGTAGTTGGACAGAAGTGGGTAGCGAATCTAGGTAGGACGCCAGGGCCCTCCCTCATGGGGGCCATGCCCAGGGCTGGGTGCCCGTGCCTTCCAGTCGCCCAGGCCCACCTGTCAGTATTAGCAGCTGTTTGACTTGAAACTCTACGTTCAAGGGGATGCTGCTGCGTTCCCGCCAGTGCCACCGCCCCCCAAGTCCCTGCGCCCCCAAGTCCCTACGCTCCCTCGCCTGCGCCTCCCTCTTGCGGATGCTTTGGGCTCATTTTGCTGTGGGAGCCTTTTCCCCCTGGAGTTTCTGGGCCGGACGGCGCCGCAGCCGCGTGGGAGGCATGGCGCACGTTTTCAGTTTGGGGCTGAATCATCCCTCTTCCGCGGAAGCCTTTTCTCTCCTTCCGAAGCGCCGATGAAGTATTCCACCCCTGGCTTCTTGCCAGTGCGGACACGATGCCAAAAAATGACTACGTTTTTGTGTGGCGTTTTTGTGAGATATTTAATGTGAAGGGGGCTCTTAGGGTCTCTGCTCACAGTGGCCTCCGCTGCCCCTGGCCCCAGACACCCGAGGGTGGGCGGGGAGGGGGCGTGGCCTGGGGTGTGTCCTTTGGAGACAGAGCCCCTCTCGCCCTCTCCTGGAGGGTGTGCTGCCTCTTAAAGGGCTCCTGTGTCCCCGGTGGTCACCCCCACCAGCGCCTCCAGTCCCCAGGGGCCTAGCACAGCAAACAGAAGCCCCGGGAGCCGCAGGGCCCCCCCACCCCAGCATATCACACGGTGCCAAATTGCATTGAACACGTGCGTGCGCGTGCGCACACGGCCCCAGACACGCGGAGCAGGGAGGCTGGTCCGAGCTGCAGGCTGCCACGGCCCCTGCCGTCCTGGCCACGACTCCGGGAGAAGCTGTGTTGTACGATACAGATCTATTTTAATACACTCAACGCTGGTTGAACAAGATTTTTATATTCTTTTATCGATGAACAAAGCGAACTGGGAGGCACACGTCTGCTGTATTGGTTACCGTCGGCGCCGATTCATGCATTCCCGCGCGGCTCGCCATGCGAGGTCTTCAGGTTCTTTCTCGGTTCGTTTCCTTCTTGGGTGGATTGAATTGAACTTTAAAAAGTGTAATGGGAGGTGGTGAAAGGTTGGACCCGGAGGGGTAGCTGCTGACGTGTCTTGAGACTTAGTTTTTTGGACCCAGGAGGCCCGTCCAGTGGGTAGTAAGGATAGAGAAAAGTGTTCGTCGTCAATTTGCCCGTGTAGTTCGTCTGTACGACGCATTAAACTCGATTGATGATCGCAGAGCCCTGTGGTTTGTGTTTGCAGCCTCAGCCCAGAGGCCCTGGGAGCACAGGGGCCGGAGGTGGGCCCTGGGGAGGGTGGGAGGAGGGGAGCTCAGGGCGCCCTCTACGGGCTGACCCCTCCCCAGGAGGTGGCAGGTGCACCTGCTGGGGCCAGACTCGATGGTTGCCAGTAACAAGCAGCAGGCCAGGCACCAGGGGGCGGTGCTGGCCACACTGATCGCCATCACCCGCCTTTGCTGCTTCCCGGGCAGCGGGGCACCCAAGGCCCCACAACCACCTGGGGCTTAACCAGTGGCCTCGAGAGCAGCCAAACGGGAGCCAGACCCCTGCACCGGGCTCCCTGCTTGGCCAGGCCTGCCACCCCTGTGCGTCCAGCTGTGGCCAGAGCAGGGGGTCCAACGCAAAGTGACTGCCCGCTGGAGGCCTGGGGGTCTGAGGGAAGGAGGGGGGCACAGGGCTGCACAGCCCACCCAGCAGGGGTCAGCTACAAGCCATCCTGTTTCCGGTGGGCCCAGGGTCACACAGTGTGACGGCTCTGACTTCTGCCTGAACGTGGGGCGGTGCAGGCCCCAGGTCCGCGCCTCGGCCTACCCTCTGAACGCCTTGGCTGGCCTCCCCCTGCCTCCGGCGTTCTGCCTGAGCTGCTGGCTCCCGGCTCCTGCCTCCAGCCTGGTCCTCCACTGTGAATTCCACTGCTTTCATCATGGGACGGAGCTGCTGGCCTTGGGGCTGCCTCTGCCCTGGCTCAGGGGTCCCCTGGGAGCCCCCTGCTAGCCCACCTGGCCTGGCAAAGCCGGGGTGAGAGGACAGAGCTGAGGTTGGAGAGCGAAGACTGCAGTGTGGCGCCTGAGCCCGGACTGTGCCTCGTCCTCATCCCCCAGCCCCGGGTTCCAGCACAGCCCACTCCTACCGCGAGGGCAGGGGTCTGGGCGCTGGTGCCATCCCCAGCCCCTGACCAGGACGGGAACCCCCTCCAAAGACGCACCCTCACTGCCCCCTCCTCCTCCCTGGGACAGCTCTGCCATGAAAGGGACCCAGAGTGAGCAGACATCTGCCTCCTGCAGCTCCGCCTGCCCAGCCAGCACCCGGGGGTCCTGTGCCCGTGTGCGGACAGCCCTGGGGGGCAGGGGGGCTGCCCTCCAGCACCTCTCCCAGCCCCATCTGCCCCAGGCCCCAGAGAGCAGGGCCGTCCTAGCTCCCTGGCCCTTGGGGATGGAAGCCCTCAGGGATGGAGGGTGCAGGCTGTTGGACGGTCACCCTCTCTGTGGCCTCTGCTCACATGACCGTGGTGACGGGACTCCACTTCCCAGAGGGCTGTGCCGCTGGGACACTGTCGTAGTGTGTGTGTGGGGGGGGGGGGGGGGCAGCGTGACGAGGCACCACAGACCCCAACAGAAATATGTTCTCCTGGAGGCCGGAGGCCGAGGTCCAGGTGCCCGCAGGGCTGCTCCTGAGCCCGGGACAGACTGCTGGCGACCAGCCCCTGGTGACCTTGGTCCTTTGCTTAGACAGTGATTCTTCCCTGGCGTTCTCACCCATGGCCCTCCGTGCCATTCGCTGGTAACCTCCTGCGTGCCCTGCCACCTCCCACGTGCCCTGCCATCTCCCGCATGCCCTGCCATTTCCCGTATGCCATCTCCCACGTGCCCTGCCATCTCCCGCGTCCCCTGCGATCTCCCGCATGCCCTGCCATCTCCAACGTGCCCTGGCCTGGACGCATCACCCGCCTCTGCCTCCCTCTGCACACAGCGTGCTTCCTGGGCGCCTGTGCGTCCAAATGTCCCTTTTCATAAGGACACGGCGTAACGGATAAGGGTCCACCCACTGACCTCACTTAAACGTAGTCATCCTACTTCCAGGTGAGGCCACATGCACAACCAGAGGGTTAGGGCTTCAGCAGTAACACGGCGCCCACCTTCTTTTGCTGAGATGCTGGGGAAATAGTGCTTCGATGCCGCGGAGGCTGACGAGGCCTCCCCACGCTGAAGCCACGAGCCCACTTATCCTGCCAGAGGGAGACCATGGTCACAGCAGCCACCGGAGCGTCGCGGCCCCTCCGGCATCAGGGCACGTGAGGCGTGTTTCTCACGATCGTTCCGCACCGTGAACCTTTCTGCATGATTCATGAGGCCTGATCTAAGGCCGTTATTCCGGGGCTCACAGTGGTGAGTGCGTGAGGGAGCCGTCATTTCTATCTCGGATTTTTTCCTGCAACAGGACCCTGAGGCTGCTTCTGGAATGCGCTGAGAGGGGTGAGTACAAGACGCCCTCCTGGGGGCAGGCGCGGAGGCCAGCGGCTCCTCCAGGGGCCGAGGCGGGGACTGGGGGCTTTTCTCGGCTCAGACTGCGACCCTCTTGGGGACCCCACTCAGGCCTGGTCCGGGCTCCCTGTGCCGGGAGGTCAGAGCTGCAAGGGTGTGTTTGCAAATAGAATAAAGAACCCTGGCCGGTCTGAATCAGTGGATAGAGTGTTGGCCGGTGGACAGAAGGGTCCTGGGTTCGATTCCCGGTCAAGGGCATGTACCTCGGTGGCAGGCTCCTCCCCAGCGGGGCCCTGGTCAGGGCGCGTGCAGGAGGCGACCAGTCGATGTGCTTCTCACACTGATGTTTCTCCAGCAGCTCAAGAGGGTTCATGACCTTGTAACAGGACGGCCAGGACCACGGGGCCAGAACACGTCGCCCGCTTTACCACCCCAATTCTCCACAGCCTCCCCCCCTTTTGCCAAATCACTCTGCAGAGCCCTCCCACTGCGGTCCCGGCCTTGGCCATGAGACCGGCGTGGGCCAATGGCATGCGAGCACGTGCGACAGCAGCCAGAGCAAGGAGGTGCTTGCCCGTCTGCCTCCTGTAAAACGCGCCCCGTGCAGCCGCTAAAGCCCCCACCAGACCAGCACTGCTCAGCTGACCCACCGACAGAGGCCCCACAGCTGGTTTCAGGTGGCTGCTTTGTTACGCGGCATTGCAGCAGCAGCAGCTGCCAGATACAAGGCCTCACCCAACAAATGCCCATCTTCAGACAGGCCACAGGAGTTATGGTTCTGACAGACCTGTCACCACATCTCTGCCCACGGCTGAGGGACGTGGGCCAGGGCTGAGGGACCAGGACCAGGCCTTGCCACGGGAGGTCATTTAATGGCGAGTTTACAAAACACACGCATGCACAGATGGGCAGAGGTCAGCGGGACACTTCCAGCACCAGCGGCGTCTCCGGGCGGCTGCCGGGGGCCGGAGGCCTGGTGGGCACAGCGAGGCCTCCGGCGAAGGGTTTGCCCTGCTCCCCTGTCCCGGCCGGGCCGGCACCCGGCTCCCCGCGGGCGTCCTGGGCGCTGAAGACCTTCCCGTAGTACTCGATCAGCAGCTCGGTGAACAGGTTCAGGGGCACCAGGGCGCCCAACGAGGACGCCCCCTGGGACGGCCAGATCAAATTCAGCCCAAAGACGCAGGCCAGGTTGGAGCTGGTCATCTTGTTAAAAATGCTCTCCTGGGACACCTGCAGGGCATGAGACGGGTGACCCGTGGGTCCCGTGCAGGGAACAGCACCTTGTGCTGCCACCTCCCTGCTCTGGGCCTCAGTTTCCCCATCTGTAAGGGGAAGGGATCGGCCTTGATGCCTGAGGGACCCTCTGGCTCTGACCTTCTACAGTCTCCTCTGGGACCCCTCAGCCTCCCTCAGACCCCTCTTCTACCCCAGAGGTGGGGCCTCTAGCACAGCGGGCATGGGCAGGGCCCCTGGCTTCACCCAGCAGATGGCCTGGGACACAGCCCCTCCCTCCGTAATGCCCCCCCACCTCCAGACAGGAGACGACGTGGGAGCAGAGGCCCCAAGAAAGAAGGCCAAGGGCAACAGCGAGGGCAGCGGTGCAGGAGTGGCAGGGGTGGGCCTGGGCGGCCCCGGCCGGCAGCGCGCAGGGCTGCTCAGTGGAGTCACTGCCTGCCAGGCCTTGGATGAAGCCCTCTGGAGCCAGGGGGTGGCATTCCAAGGCCGAGGGAGGGTGACCCCAGACCTGGTCTGCGGCTGACGTGGAGGCCAGGCCCCGCCGGCAGCCCTGCCCCGCGCTCACCTCGTGCAGGAAGCCCATGAGGTAGCTGAGGACCGCGTAGTTGTGGTCCGGCAGGCCCCGCAGGATCTGGCGGCAGCGGGTCACACGCAGGCTGCTCTCCACACCTGCCATGGCACAGGGGGCGGGGGTCCCTCCTAAGTCCCCGCGAGGGGAGGGCCCAGGCGCAGGGGACAGTGCCCTCTGATGGCCTGGAGCGCCTACTCCCGGCCGAGCAGCTGTTCTCAGCAAACCCTCTCTCCCCCAGCTCCGTCTCTGGTTGAGCACCTGGCTACTGCCTCCCAGAAAGCTGCTCACTTGACAAATGGGAAGTCAGGCCGGGCGCTGGAAAACAGCAGCCCGAGGGCCTGGGGGCCAAATGGCAGAGTTTTATCAATAAAGCTTTATTGGCACAGCCACACCCGTTCATTTACATATTGTCTAGGGCTGCTTTGCAGAGTTGAGTCTGGCCCCCAAAGCCTGAGATGTTTACCATCTGGCTCTTTACAGAAAAGGTGTCTGACTCGCTCGAGACCAGCTCACCTGCTCATGGCTCTCAGTGGCTCAGGTCCCACACCCACCGGGGTGGAGCTGTCCCAGGTTCTGAGACCCCAGTTACCTCTTAACTGCACCCCCACCCAGCTCTGTAAGCTGCAGGTCAAAACTCACCCATCAGCGAGCATTCCCCAGGCTCCCGCTGCGGAAGCACACGCACACACCCGCATACACACACACGCACACACTCACACATGCACTCACACAGGCACGCACATGCACACACACACATTCTCCCACACACACACACTGCCTTCCACACACACACACTCCCTTCCACACATACACACATGCACAGATACTCACATGCACTTGCACACAGACGCTCACATTCATGCACACACTCATATGCACTCAGATATAAGCACTCACACACAGACACACACAATCCTTTACACACGCGAACACTCCCTTACACACTTACACTCACACACACATACACACTCGCACGCCCCAGTCCTCGGCGTGCTGACCTCCCGCCACGCCTCGGGCAGGGTTACCACCAACACGTGCTTTACACGCACAGCTGCTGCTGCAGGACACCCCCCCACACACACACACACACAGTAATCGTCCTTTCCTTTCCTGGAAACAAGCCATTTTGGACGACGGACACGGGCACAGAGCCTGTGAAGTGAGTATTTCCGTGGAATCAGCGAGCCGGGGCTCGCCTGTCCTGGAACTCGGCTCTCCAGCTCACCCCGTCTTTCTAGGAATGATGGCCCCAGAGGGGGTCCCGGAGCAGGCCCACCTCCAGCTCGGCCCCTTCAGAGAGCCCTCCCAGGCCAGAGCAGGGACCCGCCCGCGGGCTGTCACACGCCAGGGCACGGCGCACCTCCTGTGAGCCTGGAACCACGCCGGGCTCGCCCGTGGCCACCCTGCCGCTCAGCCCCACTGCGCCGGACCAGCCGCCCCCATGGACGCGGTGCCCGGCTGAGGCTGGGGGTCCAGGTGGGGTAGCTCCTCTCCCGGCCCTTGGCGGGCACCCCCGGGCGGCACGTACTGGTGATCCCGAGGACCTGCTCGTAGGCCGTGGCGGTCAGCAGCGGCTGGGGCAGCTCCCGCAGGAAGGTCTTCAGGACGGCGGCGGCCACGTGCACATCCCCGTAGTCGTCGAAGTTCACGGGCTTCCCTGGACAGGGCGGCAGTCTGAGCTCTGCCTCTGGGCCGGGATTCCTGCTCCCAGCCGGGCTCTGAGGCAAAGCAGCTCTAAACCTCCGAGGGCAAGAGCCTGACGCCGGGGCGACATGACTGGGGGACGACTCTGTCCTCCGGAAATGGGGGTGCTGTCACCCCCCGCCTCTGCTTCTCCAGGGCGCCTGGCCGAGGCTGGGGCGTTACCGTCTCTGCGGTGTGGCTTGGTCCGCCTGGGATGGGGGCGCTGTGAGGTCGGGGCCCAGGCTCTGGTCCCCGTGCCCGGCACAGGGCTGAGCAGGGCGGGCCCAAAGCGCCCAACGCCGGCCCCATCGCTTACGGAGCGACTGCGTGACCATGGAAATGATGGGGTGCACCGAGCAGAGCGAGCTCACTGCTTCCCCAGTGTCATGCGGCAGCTGCGGAGCCTCCGCGACACGGTCTCTGCCCTGCAAACCACCCCCCCCCCCCCGCCCCAGGGAGAAACCCTGAGGAGGACGGCGTTGGAGGGCCCGGCTGCCCGGGAGGTGGCCACAGGACGCCCCGGCAGCCGCCCCGGCTGGGCTGTCCTGGGGGCTGGGGGACAGCACGTGGCCTGGGGGATCGGGGCTGAGGCCCAGGACGAGGGGTCCTGGGAGCCGCTCACCTTGGTTGTAGAGCCGCTGGACCTCGCGGACGGTCTGGACGCTGGCCGACCTCCGGAACAGGCCCTCGGTGCGGAGCCCTGCGGGACAGCCTCCTGCATCCCCGTCCCGCTCACCGGTCCCCGACTCCCCGCCCGCCCAGCGCCGCCTCCTGCGGCTGCCGGGGGACCCCCTCCAGGCTGGTTCCCCCCTCCCATCTACTGGCCGCCTTCACTCGTTCCTCTCAACTCCAATGTTTCCATATTCCCGCTGACTCCCCACCCGCGTGCCCCAGGAGGGAGACGGGAAAGGGCCCGGCACTAAAGTCAGGCCCGGCCTCCGCGCTCGGCTGCCGTGGCTGCAGGGTGAGGCCTCGGGCCCTGCCTCCGAGGCTGCAGAAGGGATGCGGGGAGCATACACGCCAGGCACCCGGGACCGGCGCTCTGCTCCCCTTTCTTCCCATGAGTGTCTAGCATGCAGCCACTTGCTGCATGTGATTTAAATTCAAATTTAATTAAAATGAAATCCTAGCCGAACCGGTTTGACTCAGTGGATAGAGCATCGGCCTTCGGACTGAAGGGTCCCAGGTTCGATTTCGGTCAAGGGCATGCACCTTGGTTGCGGGCACGTCCCCAGTGGGGGGCATGCAGGAGGCAGCTGATCAATCTCTCTCATGGATGTTTCTGGCTCTCTATCACTCTCCCTTCTTCTCTGTAAAAAATCAATAAAATATTTAAAAAATAAAATGAAATGAAATCCTATATAAAAGGTTAATATGCAAATCGATCAAGCAGAGGAATGACCGGTCGCTATGACACACACTGACCACCAGGGGCCAGACGCTCAACGCAGGAGCTGCCCCCTGGTGATCAGGACACTCCCACAGGGGGAGCGCCGCTCAGCCAGCAGCTGGGCTCACAGCTGGTGAGTGCAGTGGCAGTGGCAGTGGCAGGAGCCTCTCCCGCCTATGAGGCAGCGCTACGGACCCCTCGGGGGATGTCCGCCTGCCTGCTTAGGCCCGCTCCCCGAGAGGGTGCAGGCTGGGCTGAGGGGTGCCCTGCCCCCCAGTGCACTGGGCCTCTAGTAAAATATAAGACTCCAGTTGCCCAACACATGAGCCACATATGAAGGACCCTTCGACTGCCCAGGTAGGTGGTGATTCCCACTTAGGATCTCACAGATGAGACCCTCATACCCCCCCCCCCCCCCAAGCTGCCTCCATTCTGAAGCTGAGGGAGAGATTCAACATGGACGTCCAACTCTGACCAGCGCCTGTGGGCGCCCTTCCCAGTCCTCGTCAGCCAGGAGAGCTTCCCACGCGTCGTTACCACGGACCCGGCCGGTCTGGCCACGCTGCCCTCGCCCTCTCCCCCCGCCCCCCTGCTGCTCTAACCCTCTCTCCAGCCTCCAGCCGGCCCCATGGGCCTCCTGGCCTCAGCCACTGCTATTCCCTCTGCCTGGGGGCTATTTCCTCTCTGTTTTTGGCTGAGTGACTGTAAGAGGCAGACTTCTCGGACGCCCCCAGATTCCTGGGCCCAAGCACTCGGTCCAACACTGGCCACAGCGCTGCGTGGAGGGACTTTGTCGATGGAACTCAGGTCCAAGGCAGTTGACCTTGAAATAGGGGGACGAGCTTGGGTGGGTCTGACCTAATCAGGCGGGTGTTTAAAAAGGGACCAGGTTCCTCCTGGCAAAAGGAGTGTGGATTCTGGGGACAGGGACGCCGTGCGTGGCCAGGTCTCCGCTGGTGGGGGGGCCACACAGCAAGGCAAGCGAGACGGGAAGAGGCCCGTGGCGGGCGGGCGGCCAGGAAGCAGGCTCCTCAGAAGTTCAACCGCAAAGAACAGGATTTGGCTGCGATCCTAGTGCGTGTGGACGTGGAGGCTGCCACGGAGCCCAGAGGGAAGGTGCACGCCCACACCTTGGATTCAGCTTTGTGAGTCCTGAGCAGGGAGCGGCCCCGTGTGCCTGGACTTCTGAGCTCAGAAACTGAGATAAAATAACACCTTCAAACCCTGGCTGGTGTGCTCAGTGGATAGAGCGCCAGCCTGCGGACTGAAGGGTCCCGGGTTGGATTCTGGTCAAGGGCACATGCCCAGGTTGTGGGCTCAACCCCCAGTAGGGGGCGTGCAGGAGGCAGTCGATCAATGATTCTCTCTCATCATTGATGCTTCTATCTATCTCTCTCCCTCTCCCGTCCTCTTTGAAATCAATAAAAATAGATTTTAAAAAATAACCCAGCCCTGACTGGTTTGGCTCAGTGGATAGAGCGTCGGCCTGCAGACTGAAAGGTCCTGGGTTCGATTCCAGTCAGGGGCATGTACCTTGGTTGCGGGCACATCCCCAGTAGTAGGGTGTGCAGGAGGCAGCTGATCGATGTTTCTCTCTCATCGATGTTTCTAACTCTCTATTCCTCTCCCTTCCTCTCTGTAAAAAATCAATAAAATATATTAAAAAAAAAACCCCATTCACGCTGTCTCACACCACATAATTCATGGTGGTTTGTGACACAGCAGGGAAGCCGGAGCAGGGACTCCAGTGTGAGAGCTCAGGCCCTGATCTCCGACCAGCTCATCCCCGCTGGTGACACCCGGGTCGTCGCGGTGACAGCTTTACGGAGGGAAGGCAAGGCAGAGATCAGCCACCCTGAGCCCAAAAGGCGGGACCCTGTGTTGCGGTCACCGTGGTAACCAAGTGCCTGGGGCGCCAAGGAGGACGCGCTCAATTCACATGTTCTCGCAGCAAGTAGCTACTGAGCCCAACGGTGGGCTGGGTTCATGTGTGGGGGTTTCTGTTTGTTTTTAATGAATAAAGGAGCAGCTGCATGAAAGAAAAAGACACTCCCGTCACAGTTCCTGACTTGGGTCTTCATGCGCTATCTTTCGTGCCCTCCTGAAACACAACCGAAAGGATCGTAGGAGAAACGGCGTCTAGTCAGAGTGGAGACAGCTCCAATGGCACGGCGGCCCTCCAGCCACGGAGGCGCTGTGTGTGACTGACGCACAGTTCCTGGGGCACGTGCGCGCACACACACGCGCACACACGCGCACACACACGCATGCACGCACACACGCACACGCAGCACCTGTCCCAGCCCCTGCCGGTGGCCACCACCCCTCCCGTCCCTCCTCTGTTAGGATCAAAGCAGCCTCCACACACCTTCCCGCGGCTCCGGCCTGGCCTCCGGGGTCTGGGAGGAGCCACAAGGCTCAGCCCTCCAAGTCCCCGAGCGCCCAGCGGGGTCTGCACACCAGGCTCACCTGTCCGGTCAGAGGAGTCCCTGCTATGGAGGCCCCTCAAGAAGCCCGAGAACCGGGCACTGCTACTGACCCATTGCACAGATGAGGAAACAGAGGCCCAAGGCCACACGGCTAGGACACCGTGGAGCCAGGATTCAGGCCCAGACAGTCCGGGTCCAGAGCCCACAGGGGGACCCATGTGTCTGAGCCCGTCCCACCCGGGGCACCCGCCCTGCGCGGGCTCCCACTCCTCCAATTCCCGGCCCGGGGAGCTCAGGACCGGAGCGGGCCCCCCGGGGAGGGTACCCCCAGCCCTCACGGCCCCGGCGGAGCCCACACCACTCACCTTTCTCCCGCAGGTACGTCACTGTGAACCGCAGCACCGGGGGGATGAGCTCGCCTTGGTTTTTGTCTCTGAGGCTGAGGGAGAGAAGAGACAGCAACAGCGTCACCTGGGCTCGATGGGGGATCGCCCACCTGCGGGGAAGCAGGACCGAGGGCCCCGCCGAGGGAGACGCAGCCTCGGCCTCAGGAAGCCGGTGGTCTGGTGGCCGAGTGGCAGGAGTAATACAACCGAAAGCGCGGTGTCGAGCGCCACAGGAGACGCACCTGACGCAGGGGAGGCCTGGGGTGGCCAAGGCTTCACCTGGGGCAACTTCTGAGTTGGGTTTTGAGGGATGAGTAGGAGCCTCAGAGGGCAAAAGAGGGAGGGGCATTCCAGAGGAGGGAAGCACAGGGGGAAGGCCCAGAGGCGAGGAGACGTGGCCCTGAGGGCAGAAGCAGGGACCCGGGTGGGTGCTGATCAATCAAAAACATCCGCGAAGAAAACCCGGATGTGGCCTCAGAGGCCTGTTCACACTCAGCCTCTGGCTGCGCTAATCTGATACCGATTCACATAAAGAACCTTTAAAGCACCATGTACAACATACATGAAAGGCCCTCCCAGACACAGACACGGACACGGACACACACACACACACGGACACAGACACACACACACACACACACACACACACACAGACACACACACACGGACACGGACATGGACACAGACACACACAGACACGGACACGGACACAGACATGGACACGGACACGCACATAGACACACAGACACGAACACAGATCCAGACACGGACACACATAGACACACAGACACGAACACAGACACGGACACAGACACACACAGACATGGACACAGGCACAGACAGACACACTGACATAGACACACACACACACAGACAGACACTCTCCCCCACAGCTCATTTGGCAGAATCAGGATCTGAAGCCAGAGAGAGAGGGAGACATCGATTGGTTGCCTCCCACATGTGCTGAGAACCTAGCCTGCAACTGAGGAATGTGCCCTTGGCAAGGAATCGAACTCGTGACCCTTCGGTCTGCGGGCAGACACTCTAACCACTGAGCAGCCAGCTAGGACGAGTTTGTGATATTTTAAAAAACAGGAAGAACAGGGAGGGAGGGAGGGTCACCTGACATTACAGTGATAACAGGGAGGGTGGCACCCAGGCTGCTCCCACCCTCTGAGCCGGTCCTTCATCTCACACCCCCTCCCACCCTCTGAAGCGGGAAGGATGGTGCAGCTCGCATCATGATCGGCGAAGGTCTCGGCCACAAGCCAGCCGGAGGGCCTGGGTGCCGCCAGAACCGGGCAGCGCCCATGAACATCACAGATAGCACCCAGCCGTGAGGACCTACTGTGCGCCTGGCACGCTACTAAGCCCGCTGGCTTCATCACAGCGCCTCATGTTTACGGAGGACAAAGCAGACTCGAGAGGCTAGCTGTTCCCTCTGCGGTCACACAGCCTAGGGTTTCAGTCACAGCAGACTCCCAGGCCCCTGTCCCTGGAGCAGCCCCAGGCTTGTGCTCTGAGGTGGGGGTCTGGGTGCAGTGGGGGTGCTGGGAGGTGGCCCAGGCCCTGGAATGCTGTGACTCACCTCTGCTCAGCTGCCCCCCTCTTTGGGAGGCAAATGGGCAAAGAGAAACAGGTTTGCTTCATCGGCGAGACCAGGCCCCCAAACTCTAATGGGTGGGGCTTCTGGCAAGTGAGGCCGGCACGTGGCCTGAGCCAGAGCCTCAGGAGGCCTGATTCCCCCCTCACTTCCCCCCCCGCAGCTTCCCAGGTGGCATCTCACGCTCTGTGCACAGCCACCGGGTGCCGGAGACCAAAGACGCGTGTCCCCCGCCCGCAGCCACCCTTCAGCTCTCCCCTTGCAGAAGCGTGCCCTGCTCAGCGCGGCCTTCCGCTCTGCGAGAGGAGCCGAGGCCAGGAGCCACGCGGTCCCGCTCGCCAACGCACAGAGCACCCCCAGATCCGTCACCACCCCACTGACAAAATAGGGCGGAACAGGCACAGCGGAAACTACAAAACCACCTGGAAGTTTGAAAAGGTCCCAATAAATGGAAAGACCGCCTGTGTTCACGGACTCAAATCGCAATATTGCTAAGATGGCAAAACCCCAAACTGACCCGGAGGCAGCACCATCCCCACTGGGAGCCCCGCGGCCTGCGCTGCAGACTGACGAGCAGCTTCTAAAATTAACATGGAAACTCGAGGCCCCAGAATAGCCGGAACGGTCCCGAAAAAGAACGAAGTGGAGCACTCGCACTTCCGATTTAAACCTACTAAACGCCTCAGTGATAAAGATAGTGCGGCACCGGCATCTAGAGCAACAGGGCGGACTTGAGAGTCCAGAAATAAACCCTCACGTTATGGCCAACTCGTTTTCTTTTGTTTTTTTTTAATCCTCACCCAAGGATATGCTTAAAAAAAATTAGAGAGAGACATCAATGTGAGAGAGAAACATTGATTGGTTGCCTCCTGTATGGAACCCACAACCTATGTATGTGCCCTGACCGGGAATTGAACCCACGACCCTTCAGTGCGCGCAGGATGATGCTCCAACCAACTGAGCCACCCCAGCCAGGGCTGGCCAATGGGAGAAAAAATAATCTTTTCAACAAGTGGTTCTTGTTTGTGTGGAGTCATCAGGGAAGGCTTCCTGGAGGAGGGGACTCTGAGGGAGGAAGAAGAGCAGGCGAAGTGCTAGGTAGCAGGAACGGGCTCATATAGTCTGACACCCTGTTGTTAAGCCCCCGTGGCCCTGGAGGGTGAGGGGAGCAGGGGTTCAATTCCAGTTACAGAGAAAGAAACTGGCGTTGCTAGCTTGACTTCCCAAAGCTGGAAAGTGCCAGAACTGGGATGTGGCCTCCCCTCCCCCATCCCCAGTGGCCCACCCTGGCCCAGACAGGGCTGCACTAAACACACATGTGCGTTCCCATGCTCCCTCTTCAGGCACCGCGAGCCAGCAAGGACCTCCTGAATCTGACTGCCCCGTAACATACGGACTCAATTAGCGTGTGGCAAGGTGATGGCTTTCTGTTCTGTGCTGTGGAACCCGACTCAGCAAATTAACATTTGTGAATAGGACTCTGTTATGAATTTTAATGATGTTTATTCATTCATAGTCCAAGCCAATGACGCATTCGGTGCTTTACTTAATATGTTCATTGCCATTTTATTACAGTGTCCGCAATGAAGCGGCATAAAATATTAATTTAAAGAGCCAATCGCACGGATTCCCTCTCAGAGTGGCCCGCGCAGGGTTTCAAAGGTTGTGCGATGCTCCTTGTCACTCCCTCAGGGCACGAGGAGCGGGTTTCACAGTGACAACTGGCCCTGCTGCAGGGGTGGGGAACGTCCGGCCGGCGGGCCGTGCAAGGCCGGCGAGATCATGTGGTCTGGCCCTGCTGCAGGGCGGGGAACGTCCGGCCGGCGGGCCGTGCAAGGCCGGCGAGATCATGTGGACTGGCCCTGCTGCAGGGGGGGGAACGTCCGGCTGGCGGGCCGTGCAAGGCCAGCGAGATCATGTGGTCTGGCCCTGCTGCAGGGGGGGGAAACGTCCGGCCGGCGGGCCGTGCAAGGCCGGCGAGATCATGTGGTCTGGCCCTGCCGAGGCACTAGGGGTGAGTTAATTGAGTGTTTGACCAAACATCGCGGGCCAATGTTTCCGGTGATAGTTTTGTGTGGCCTGCAAATGATGTTCTAAATATCCCATGGCCCCTGGCAGAGAAAAGGTTCCCCACCCGTTTGTAGGCGTGCACCCGGCTTTTGTAAGGGACATCACCACTGCCTGCCTTCGATCGGGAGCTCAAACGCCGTGTCCACACGTTCTGAGAGGCACCTGCTCAAACCCAAGACCACAGGGCCCTGGTGGGCTTCCCAGAGCACAGGGGCCACACAAATTACTGCGCGTCCCCCACACGCGGGTGGACGGCTTTTTAAAAAGTATGTATTTGTATTGATTTCAGAGAGGAAGGGAGAGGGGGAGATAGAAACATCAATGATGAGAGAGAATCACTGATCGGCTGCCTCCTGCACGCCCCACACTAGGGGTCGAGTCCACAACCCGGGCACGTGCCCTTGACCGGAATCGAACCCGGGGCCCTTCAGTCCGCCGGCCGACGCTCTATCCACCGAGCCAATCGGGCTAGGGCTCGGGTCATGAGGTGGGCGTGCTTTTGGTTTTACATTTTTAAAGTTTTATTAGACAACACGAGACAGAAGTGGCTCTGAGCAACAAAGGAGCGAATCCAAGAGGCGCAGCTGGTCATCAGGGGGAGGCTGATGACGGAAAGGCCAGTGGCCTCGGCCACAGCCGCCAAGGACCCCGGATCAGGACACAGCAGCACAGCAGGACCTCGGGACAGCCGGAAACAGGCCGGAGGGTCACAGGTGGCTTGAAACTCCCCGGCCTGCTGGCTGGGCATCCCTGGGACCCTCCTCTGAGCCGAGTTCTCACCAGCGCCCCCAGCGGGGCCCACGGTCACTGCAGGTGCGTTCCCCACCCTGCCTTCCTGGGGCCTGTAGGAGTGTGAGGTCACACCCACTCACAAGAGTGGGCCACACCAGCACGTTTTTACAATATTTAAAAAAAAGAAAAGGGTCCCCTGGCCGGTGTGGCTCAGTGGTTGGGCATCAACTCATGCGCCCAAAGGCTGCCGGTTTGATTCCCAGTCGTGGCACATGCCTGGGTTGCAAGCTCCATCCCTGTGGGGGAGGCAGGAGGCAGCTGGCTGATGCTTCTCTCTCATCGCTGCTTCTGTCCCTCTCCCTCTCCCTTCCTCTCTCTCTCAGATTAACTTAAAAATATTAAAAAAATAAAATTAGAAAGAAGAAGAAAAAAGGACAGGAAGTGCCGTTTGGTGAGCTTTCGTTCCAGCGATATTCGGGGAGGGTCCTGTTTGAAAGACACCGATTCGCGAAGCGCTTACAAATGCGGCCGAGGGGCCCCGTGTGCCTGGCCGGGGGCGGGCTGAGCCTCCAGGGCCAGCAGCGACGCTTTTCCATAAAGTTAGACATTCGGGGCCTCACGTGCAGCAGCCGCGTCTTGAGGGCTCGACAGCCACACGTGGACAGTGCGGGCCATGTTTAGCATCACAGAAAGTTCTGGAAAACAACGGTCCATCTCTAACGGCGGTGACACACCGAGGCGCCCATCCTACCTCCTCCCTGCACACCGGGCACCACCCCTCCCTGCTGCACCTCCCGGCCCTCCCTGCCAGCGGTCATCCGGCCCCCGGGCCACCTGCCTGGCTGGGGGTGAGGTTCCCCCAGCCCCTCCCCGCACGCCCCACACTGCCTGCCTCCCACGGGCCCTGGGGGTCCCGGGGGAGAACCTGTTCCGGCCTTTTCCACCTCTGGGGGCGCCTGCTTCCCTCGGCTTGTGGTCCTGCAACGTCCCAGCCCTGCTTCCTGCTTCGTCCTCACCTCTCCTCTCCCTCCTCCTCCTCCCTCTTATAAGGACCCTTGTGGTGACACTGGGCCCCCGACCATCCAGGACAATCCCCCACCCGAGACCCTCAACCAGTCACACTCACACAGGCCCTTCTGCCATGGAAGGCGACAGACTCACAGGTTCCCTCATAGAGGGGGTGTCACTGTTCTGCCCGCCACACCCTCCTCTCTGTCCTCCTCACTCCAGGCCAAGAAGAGAGGAGGGGTCCCCGGGGCCATGTCTGCAGCCCCCTCGCCCCAGAGCGCATGCGTGAGAGGACAACGAGGGGTCCCCACACCCAGAGGCCTCGGGAAGGACAAGTGACAGGTGCGAGGTGGCAGGTGGGCACCCTCCAGCCCCGCCCAGGTGCTGCCCAGAGCCTTCTCATGTCTCCACCTCTCAAAGCGTTTCAAGGCGGTGAGGGATTTAACAGGTTTTATGGAGAACCCACTGCACAGGAGTTTCCAACAGGAAGTGGCTCACTGAGGTGGAGCTGAGCAAACTGCTCCAGGACCCCCCGCCCCCGCCGCCCCCCGCCTCTGCTTCCTGTGCCTCCTATAGATCAGGCCCAGCCACCCCACGTGGGAGGGTAAGGCCTCCCCTTTGCCGTCCCTCATCAGGTGCCTCAGTGCCAGGCCTATGGCCCAAAACAGAGGGCAGGAGGATGGACAAAGAGCTCACTGCCAAACCCGGAAAACAGCCAGAGAGACTCCCCACACAGCCTGGGGATCAGGCTGCCATCACGGAGGGCCCTGCGTGCATCAGGGAAGGCTTCCTGGAGGAGGTGCCACTGCTGAGTCTTAGAGATGAAGTGGGCCCGAACGGGTGGCCCAGAGTCCTTTGCAAGGTGGCGGGAAGTGTCCCGGCTGTGGCCTGGGGCAGGGGCCAGAGCTGCCTGGTGCGCAGCGGTGATGAAAGCTGGGAGGACCCTGGGGCCCTGGTCCTCTGCCTGCTGCTGGGTCCCCTGCGTGCGCGTACACACACACACACACACACACACACACACGGCGGCTCAGTCACACGTCACTCTTCCTGCAGGACTAAGCTTGGCGACCAGAGGCAAAAGTCTGGGGACGACCTGCCCACACACAGAGGCGTCCCAGGGTCCCCCACACACACAGGGGCGTCCCAGGGCTCCACACACAGGGGCGTCCCAGGGTCCCCCCCACACACAGGGAGTGAGGACAGGCGCGCGGCTCACTCACTACTGCAGGCTGACGCCAAACTGCTGGGTGGGCAGCGGGGGTCGCGGCGGTGGCGTCTTGGCGGGAGCGGGCGGCCGGCCCCTGTGCAGGTTCCGCAGCTTCTCGTCGTACCTGCGGGCCCAGCAGAGGCCGCTCTCACCCTTCGGGCAGTCGCGGCCACGCACGCACACACACATGCACACACATGCACACGCACACACGCGCACGCACACACCCATTGCTACAGGGGTCCACAGAGACGGCAGGAAGGGAAGTCCAACCCCATCAACTGCTCAGGCTCTCCTGCCAACCCCTGGCCACTGTGTCACCCACGTGTGTCTGCACAGGGACAGCTCCCTCCCTGGAAACGCCCTCCCGGCCACTGTCCCTGTGACACTCCTCAGGAGTCACCTCCTCCTGGGATCCTCTGCAGTTCCCCCTCCCCGGGTCCCTCCCAGCTGGGTTCAGTGCTCCCTGCAGCCCTCCCCCCTCCCCGGGTCCCTCCCAGCTGGGTTCAGTGCCCCCTGCAGCCCTGTTAGGGCTGGCGTGGCCCCGACCACCTGGGAGTGTCCTGAGGGCAGGCGCTCCCTGCACTGCTCCCCCCCAGCATCTGGCACTGACTTGCTGCCCAGAGGGAGCCCAGCATCTCCACACCCTGACTCCCCTGGCTCCGGTCCCCACAGCGTCCCCACACCCTGACTGCCCTGACTCCGGTCCCCATAGCGTCCCCACACCCTGACTCCCCTGACTCCAGGCCAGAGCAAGGACGCTGCACCCCAGCAGCCCCGCCAGAGCGTGAGACCCATCCTGCAATGGAGGCCAGAAAGCGTGGGTCCCGTGGCCCGCGCCACCTCTCCCCACGCCAGGCTGGCCGGCACTTGCTGGGCAGGAAGAGGGGACGGGACCAAGGTCGCGCGGGATGGGGTGCGACTCACCGCACGACTTCCGGGGGGATGGCCAGCTGGTCGCATCTGAGGTGCTCACGGAGCTCGCTCAGGTAGTTGAAGTAGGTGACTTTTTTCCCAAACTTGTGACTAAAAGTGCAGAAGGAGATGGGAACTTTAGGCTGCCGCAGAGCTGCGGGCGCGGGGAGGGCTCGGGCTGGGCAGTCAACATGTTCCACTGAGTGTGACTGCCGACACCGCCCAAACTGCCGGAAGCCGGTCCATCCTTGCTGCTTGACACAGTCGCTGCAGGATAGAAACATCTGCACAGCATATGTTTCAAGGGACCTGGTGTATATAGCATACTGTTCTTAATATGTTTGCTCCCCTTAGCGCTGTGTGTTTTAACCAAGGTCACCTCTCCGAGAAAGGTTGTTTCCCCAGGTAGGGATTTTTCCCTGAAGTTAGGGAGGGGATGAAACTCCTTAACTAAGTGCCAGGCGGGTAGTTAATCACTTTAACTACCATCATGCTTAAGCTACATAATCTTTACTCCCTGGAATGGAGATAAGAAACGCCCTAACCTTTGTAATAGAGATTGACAGGATTAAAATCAACTTGTATAAATACGGATGTAACAAGACAATAAACAGCAGAACTTCGCTGGAGATCCAGACCAGAACTTGGCTGGAGATCCTGGCTAGAGATCCTGGCTAGGCTGCTGATCAACTGAACGCTGTCTCTGTGTCATTCCTTCTTCGCCGACTCCGTCCACACCTTTGGGGACCCCTGGACCTGCTGGGGTTGGACCCCGGCACCAAACTAGGCACAGAGCTGCGGCGTGGGGAGGGCGCAGGGAGGGCATGGGGGTGCTGGGAGGGGTGCGGGCTGGGCGGTCAGCACGCGTGTTCTCGAGTGTGACCGCCGACACCACCTAAACCAGGCACAGAGGCCGCGGCCCCGGCTGCGGGCGTTTCTCTTTTATGGCTCCCGGATGCACCAGACGCTCTGGAGACCCTCTGCATACGAACAAGAACTGCCTCCAGGTTGAACCGGCAGGAACCTGCGTGGGGGCGGGGTGGTGTGGGAGCGAGGGTGTGGGGAGGGCAGCCGGAGCTATTTTTTTTTTTTTTACTGTCCTTTTTTTTTTTTTTTTTTATAAAAACAGACAGACATTTTCGACCGAAATTGTCAGCATAAAGGAGGTTTTAACAACTATAAAAATGTGGAACCAATCCGATTCATCTGGTTGGAATATCATCAAATGGCTCTCAGCCTCAAAAATGGAAATGGGATAAAGTCAGATAGTAACAAAAATAATGATTTGAGCAAAGTGAAGGCAATAACAAGAAAATAATTTGGGGCTAAATAGAGTTTAAGAGTTTGTGAAAGATATAAAACTCAAACCCACTTTCAAATAAATCTCATCTAAAAGAAGGAGTATGGATAACGGGAATATATAATTTTTTAATGAAACAATTTTGCTTCGGTGCAAATGTATAGTTAAAAAAAAATAAAAAGGAAATGCCTCATGTGACTGAGCAGGAACAGTTTCCACAGAGGCTGCCCGGTCAGTGGTGGCTTCCCACCCGGGCACCTCCTCTCCCCTGAGGGCGGGGCCCATCAGCGTCCTCTCTGGAGTCTCCCCAGGACGCAGTGGCCCTGGGGACACAGTGGAGCCAGCACGGCCATAGGCCAGACAAGCCCTGGGCGTCCTCGCCCCTGCAGGCCTCACCCCTGGGAGTGGCTTCTCCCTCCGGAGGCGACCACGGCACCCAGCCCACTGCCACCCCGTGTCCAGTGCTATGTTTCTCATCTCTTTTTTTAAATAAATTTTATTTTTCGTTACAGTTGACCACTATCCTTAGGTCAGGTGTACAACCGTGACCAGACACTTGGGGACTGCAGGAAGTGACTGATGAATCCAGCGCCCACCCCGCCCCACACACGGTCACTACAATGTCCTTCCCCGTGTCCACGTGATCCGTGAGCCTCGGCGCCCTGAGCTGCAACGTGGGGAGGGGACAGGAGGGGCACCGTGAGCCCAGCACCCGCTCCTGGCAAGTGACCACTCGTTTCTTTTTTAACATAAAAAACAAATCCTCACCCAGTATCTGTTTTGTTTTTTGTGGATTTTAGAAAGGACGGGGGAGAGAGAAAAGCACTGATTGAGAAATATCAATCGATTGCCTCCCAGATGTGCCCCGACTGGGGATCGAACCATAACCTGTGCCCTTACCAGGAACTGGACCGTGATCTCCTGGCTCATGGGTCGACGCTCAACCACTGACCCACACCAGCCAGGGCTGGGCTGCAGGTTGTACAGCTTCCCTGAAGCTTGACTGACACAGAATGGCCCTCGCTCACCTGCAGTCGGGTGAGTGTGCACGGTGCGTGCCCGTGACACCGTCTCCACAGTCAAGGTGGCGAGTGCATCCGCCTCCCCGGCTTCCTCGTGTCCTCCTGCCTGCGTGTGCGCGTCTATGTGTGTGTGTGTGTGTGTGTGTGTGTGTGTGTGTGTGTGTGTCTGTGTGTGTGTGTGAGTGTGTGTGTGTGGGTGTATGTGCGTGTGTGAGTGTGTGCGTGCATGTGTGCGTGCATGCGTGTGTGTCTGTGTGAGTGTGTGTGAGTGTGTGTATGTGTGAGTGTGTGTATGTGTGAGTGTGAGTGTGTGTGTGTGTGTGTGTGTGAGAGTGTGTGTGAGGGGGGGGGGATGGGTGGATGGCACGGGGTTCCTCCGCCCCTCACAGCACGGACGCTGGAAGTGCCTTCTCAAGTCCCAGCGTGGCCCCGAGAGCAGAGCACGCTCAGAAGGCAGCCGCGCGGAGACCGACCTGGGATCACAGATGGTGCGTGCATATGTGAGCACATGTGTGTGCACGTGTGAGCACACGTATGGGTGCACCTGCTCACCGCGTGAGAGGAGGGTCGCTGGGACCCTGGGGGGCAGTGTGGCCGTGGCCAGGCCAGCAGGCGGTACCTGATGAGGGGCTTGAAGACGGTCCACAGGACTTTGATGAAGCTGGTGGGGTGCACCACGTAGAGGGCCTTCAGGTTCTTCTTGTACCTGAGGGAGGGGACAGGCCTCAGACCCGCCGCACGGCGACGCCCGAGCTGAAGGACGCCCCCTCTCGCCACAGCCAAGTCAAGGATGTCAACCCCGACTCAGAGAGGGTCCCCCAGGGAGTCAGACCCGCCTCCCGCCCAGGCGTGGGCGGCACCTGGTGGCGGTGTCACTGGGGCTCACGCGGAGGCCGGGGCGGGGTGCTCCTGAGGGCTAAGGGGCGACGCGCTCAGAACGGAAACTGCACAGACCCTCACCCCTTCTCTGCTCGGAACTGGCTCTGGGGGCAGGGCGTCCACCCTGTGGGCCACAGCGTCCCCCACCGCGAGGCACCGGCACCCACTTAAAAACGAGGTGCTGCTCCGCTCCCTCCCTCCCTCCTGAATAATTCAGGGCAGAGCCTTTGGGCTGAGCCAAGGCAGCTGGCACGCACCGGGCGGGGCGGAGGCTGCGAGCGGGTGACCGTGGGGCCTGGCGGGTCAAACCGGCCGCCTCCTGCTTTGGTACGGCCCGCAGCTAAGAGGGGCTAATTCCACGGTTGGAAAAAATTAACAGGATAACAGTTCATGACATGACGTGTGAAAATGGAATGAAGCTCACATCCAAAACTACTTTTTAAAAATTTCATCCTCACCCAAGGATATTTTTTTCATTGATTTTTTTTTTAAAGAAAGTCGAGGGGAGGGAGGAAGGTGGGAGAGAGAGAAGCATCGATGTGAAAGAGACACACGGCTGCCTCCCACACATGCCCCGACGGGGGCTGGGGATCAAGCCTAGAACTGAGGCACATGGCCCTGACCGGGAATTGAACCCATGACCCTTCGGTGCACCGGCCGGCGCTCTAACCACTGAGCCACCGGCGAGGCCCAGAACCGCTTTTGGGGGAACACGGCTCCGCGGTTTGCTCACACACCGTGGCTGCGCTCATGCCGTGCGGCCGCTGAGTGGTCGTGACGCAGACCCGATGGCCCGCGAGCGGGACTCCTGACCGCTGGCCCCGTAAACACGCGTGCCACCCCGCCCCGCGGACCACGCAGGGCACAGCCCCGGCTCGGAGAGGAGGCGACCAGCCACTCCTGCCCGTGCCCCCCGCCCGCCCGCCCCCCAGGGCCCGGCACGCACTTCCTGTCGAACTCCCGGTAGGCGCCCTGCAGCCAGCGCAGCGACGGCTTGTTCTGGCTGCTGAGCCCGAAGTGGAAGTAGACGACGGTGTAGTCGCTCTGCACGTGCTGGTCCAGCGTGTGCCTCAGGTACCTGCGGGAGCACGGCTGTCACCCGGCCACCCTCTCGTCCCCATGAAGCCAAACAGCCCCCCCCCCACCTCCACCCGACGGCGGCCCCTCCCGGGAGGCCCGGCGCAGTGGACAGCCGCACCGTGGCTCCCAGCTCCGCCCGCGGACGGCGGGCAGGGGACGGAGCGCACAGGGCGCCCGGTCGGGCGGACGTTCCAGGACGGAGGGGAAATGCAGAGCCAAGCGTGACAGCGGACCCCCAGCGGCACTGAGGCGCTCACACTGTCCTGCCACCACCGCCCCCTCTAGTTCCAGAACGGGTTCCTCACCCCAAAGAAAGCCGGTACCTGCCCCCCATGGAGCCACCATCTCCCCGCCCGGCCCGCCGGGTGTGTCCGGTTCTCCCGCCTTCACAAGACCACACATCCTGACTCGCTCCTGCCCAGAGCGGCACCGGGCTGTGGGCCGACCCGCGGGTCATGGACGACTTGATGCCACAAAAGGCACAAATGGACAAGGAGAGGGTTTGACCTCAGAGGCCCCGGATAAGCGCTGTCCTGGGACCAAGTGTCCCCCCTCGCCCTGGGGCCCATGAGCTCTGGGGGGGGGGGGGGCGGACCAGGCGGTGGCAGCTCCCTCGGGGAGGCCACACCTCCTGGCGGCAGACACGGGCGCAGGCTGTCCCGGCCCGGGTCGGGCAGGGGTTCCGCTGTCACCTGCATCTTGAGTTGCTGCCGGAGGTTCTGAGGGATCGGGTCGGACGCGTGGGCCCAGCGACTCTCAGAAAGCAGCCAGCCCCGAGGCTTCTGCACCTGCCCTGAGTGGGGGTCGAACCCGTGACCCTTCGGTCCCCCGGCCAGTGCTCTAACCACTGAGCAAAACCGGCCAGGGCTGCTCCTGGATCTGACCGACCTTTGTGAGCTGGGGCTGCAGGCACGGCTGCCCTGAGCTGTGGGTGGGAGTCGGTGGGTTCCCATAGAGCTGCCACAGTCTGCCCCCCTACCCCCTACCCCCCTACCCCCCACCTTCTGAGCCGCCCCTCGCCACAAGCCAGGCTCCCAGGCGGCCGCACTCTGTTCCTCGCAGAGGCACACAAATTTCCCAGAAACGCCCAGAAACGGGCCGGGGTTCAGCCCATGGGGGAACCGCAGTGAGAGTGTTGTCAGAGGGCAGATCCAAGGCAGGAGCACCCGAGCCCCCGGGCACAGGAAGTGCCCCAACGTGCCCCCGGCCCTCGGCCGCCGCAGTAGCCTGGCTGGGCCTGCCTCGCAGCGTGACTTGCTGGGCAGGACCCTGATGGGAACGGTGGCCACAGTGGCCGGTGGATCACGAGCCGATCTCAGACCGCAGCCCCCTCCCCAGGCGGAGGCGCCACCGGCCCAGGTCACCCGCTCACCCAGAGGGCGACTCCCGGCAGAGATGGGCCGTGTCCCTGCTCTCATGCAGCTCCTGGCCCCACCAGGAGGGGGTGCTGGAGACAGCATGGCCCTCGCAGAGCTGGCGGATGCCAGCGGCAAGGGATAGGATGGAAGGGTGATGGTGGAGGTGCAAATGCAGAGGGCCGGGGCGGGGGTGGGGGTGGGGGGTGGGGGGGTGGAGGGGGAGGTGTGGAGGGGCTTTGAGGGAGAGGGAGGCCTAAAGCACCCTGGGGCCTAGGGCTGAAGCTCAGTCCCTGGCGGTCATGTGACATCTGCCTGGGGATCCGCTGGTCAATCTCCAAGTGTCAGCCTTTGACCCTGAACATCCGTTCAGGCTGGTGACGCAGGGGCGTGCGCACGGGAGGCGTGCGGGGAGGGGTGCGGGCACAGGGGACTTACTCCAGCAGATGCCTGTGGTTGAGCTCGTGCGAGGGGGGCATCCGGCAGCAGCTGAAGGTGACGATGCGTCTCCCAAGGTGGTCCTCCCCTGCAGGAAGACCGGCTGAGCTCCGAGGCACCCACCCAGCCTGGCTCTCGGAACCGCCGGCCTTAACACACACGGGCGCTCCTGACCGCCCGCCCAGCTTAGGGGGCAGGCGGCCGGCACTCAGAGAAGGCAGCGCCTGCAGGGCGAGCATCAGCCACAGGACACAGCGGGCCTTCCGCGAATGCTGGCGCCTCCCGTAGGCACAGGCCCACTCCCTCCCTGCCCTGATTCCCCGGTTTTGGTGGGGGTTGGGGGCTCGCAGCAGATCAGCGCACATCGGACCTCCTGCTAATGGGGGCCCTGTGCCGGCTGCGAGAGGGGCTGCTGGGCAGCTGGGCCAGAGCACGGAGGGGTGTGGAGACAAGGCAGAACGGCCGGTGAGGAAATCGGTACTCAGTTCAGTCAGCAACAGAGCATGAGGGGCACTGCCGGGCTGTGAGCCCCGCCACCCTGCCACCCGCACGGGAGAGCTCAGCACGTGCAAAGGCACTGGGGCAGCGACATGGAGAGGGGATGGAGCCCAGCGCCACACCGGGCCCACTTCCTTTTCCCCAGCAGCGTCCTGCTTGCACAGAGCGGTGAGCCAGTCACTCCTCATTCAGTAAACACTTACTGAGCCCCTCTTGTTTGCAGGCCCACCGACTAGCAGGACGCTCAGCTGTGAAGGGAGCTACTACTTCGGAAGGCTTTTTACTCCCCTTACAACCAAAAGGCCCCTCCCTCAGCATTTTCTTTCCATAGCAACAGATTTCTAAGGGTCCAGCCAAAGGACCCTCACAGCATTATTTACCCTCAACAAACATTCAGCAAAGCTCACAGGGAGTGGGAGAGGGTAACCCGGTTCCTGACACTCTTTTCTCTACACCTGGTGCATTTGAAAAGTTCCGTATTAACGAGAGGGAGAGGGACTCACTAGCCGGGCAGCCCCGAGCCAGCCCCTCTGCTCATCTGCAATACGGAGATAATAATGAAAGACTCTTCAGGAAGGGTTAAATCAAGAACTTAAAGTTGGCATAGCGCTGGCACACAGTAGGTGCTCCATAAATGTGACGTGTTACCACGGGCCTGGATGCCGGGTGCTTCCCGGGGGGAAACTGAGGCCCAGAGAGGCAAAGTGAGCGTCGGAGCCGGCTCCGCTCACAGCTGGCTGACTCCGGGGGCAGCACCCCCAGCCCGGCCTCCCAGCCCCCTCTACCCCTGGGAACCCCGCAATCCCAGCGGGGAGGCTCCCACGCTCCTCAGCCGTGTGGACCCCGGGGACACCCAGCCCCTACAGCTGATTAAGCAGCCACCACGGCAACTGTGTCAACAGCATCCATCAATATGAGTAAATACCCTTGCCCGTTCTCCGGCAACACGGGCCAGTGTATCACAAACAGGCTTCACGATGATTTAATACGGACGGAAATTAACATGCACATCCGGGAGGCGTCGGTGTGATCCACTCCCCGCCTTTCTCCCTCGCTGCTCACAGGCGGCATCGCTCACTGCCTGGAGGCGGGAGCCCCGCGTGCGATACAGAAGCGATTCCGCGATCCATCACGCCTGGGGAGGGGAGGCCGATGAGCTGCGGCAGAGGCAGCAGAGGCAGCAGCAGCCCCATCGGGAGGCCTGGGCTGGGGCTGGGGTTGGGTGCTAGGTCGCTAACCTCTCTGCGGAAGTGAAAGGGATTCTGACGGCTGGACTTGTTTGCCTGCCGCCTGACCTGGGTGGAGCGGTGACCAGGCGTCCAGCAAGACCAGGTCCCGCGTGAACCTCCCTTAAAAAAAAATCCTCACCCAAGAACATGCTTCTTATTGCTCTTAGAGAGAGTGGGAGGGAGAGGGAGAGAAACATGGATGTGAGAAACATCGACTGGCTGCCTCCTGCATGCACCCCAACCGGGAATCGAACCCGCAACCCAGGCATGTGCCCTGGCCTGGCATGGAACCTGGGACCCTTCGGGGCACAGGACACCGCTCCCCCCGGCCAGGGCTCCCTCTCTTTCTTTTCTCTCGTCTCTGCCGCTCGCCCGTTCCGCGTCTCTGGGACGACACCTCCTGCCTCCTCTGATCCTGGGCTCCAGAACCTTCCCTCTGCCCACACCGCGTCCCGCCATCTAATCTCGCCTCCGAGTCCCGGCCCTGGCCCCAGACTGGCGCTTCAGAGGATGGCCGCTTCTGGAAATACTTAAATCAACTTTATTCATCAAACACTATCTTAAGTCCTGGCCGGGTACTCAGTTGGTTAAGGGTGTCATCCTGGCCCATCCGGTGTGGCTCAGTGGTTGAGTGCCAACCCATGAACCAAGAGGTCACTGTTCGATCCTCGGTCAGGGCACATGCCTGCGTGGCGAGCTCGATCCCCAGTAGGGGGCGTGCAGAGGTAGCTGATAGGCGTTTCTCTCTCATTGATGTTTCTATCTCTCTATCCCTTTCCCTTCCCCTCTCTCTAAAAGCAATCCTATATAACAGAAGCCTAATGTGCTAAGTGTCCGGTCATCCAGTTGGCTGTTCAACCAATCAAAGCATAATATGCTAATGATATGCTAAGACCACTCAACCACTCACTATGACATGCACTGACCAGCAGGGGGCAGACAGTCGACTGGTCAACCAGTCGCTATGACGTGCACTGACCACCAAGGGGCAGATGCTCTGACCGGTAGGTTAGCTTGCTGCTGGGGTCTGGCCGATTAGGACTGAGCAAGATGGGCCGGACACGCCCTGGAGCCCTCCCGCGGTCCCTCCTCGGCTGGCCAACCTCCCGCATCTCTCCCCGGCCCCGATCATGCACCTGTGGGGTCCCTTGGCCTGGCCTGCGCCCTCTTGCAATCCGGGACCCCTCGGGGGATGTCAGAGAGCTGTTTTCAGCCCGGCAGCAGAAAGATTGGTAGCTATGATACACATTGACCACCAGGAGGCAGATGCTCAATGCAGAAGCTGCCCCCTGGTGGTCAGTGTGTTCCCACAGGGGGAGCGCTGCTCAGCCAGAAGTCGAGCTCATGGCTGGCGAGTGCAGTGGTGGCGGCAGGAGCCTCTCCCGCCTCCGCAGCAGCGCTAAGGACGTCCGACTGCCGGCTTAGCGGGCCGAAACCATCAGCCAGACATCCCCTGAGGGCTCCCGGCTGAGAGAGGGTGCAGGCCAGCTGAGTGCACACATTTCACGCACTGGGCCTCTAGTGAAAACATATTTTAACAAGAAAAAGTGTTGCCCTGATCTGCCAAGGCTGTGGGTTTGATACCCAGTCAGGGCACATACAAGAATCACCCAATGAACACACAAATAAGGGGAACAGCAAACTGACGTTTCTTTCTCTCTCCCTTCCTCTCTCTCTCAAAATCAATCAATCAATTTTTTTTAAAAAAGCAGAAACGATACAAAACACCGTCTTAAGAGTTAAAATTCTACAAAGCTTCCATTTGGCCAAATATATGACCCCTTAAGTAACGACAGGTCATTTCACTATCACTTGTGACAAGTCTTTGGTTTTGGCTGTGGGTTTGATGTTCAGTACTGGACGAGTGGCACCTGGGGAAGAAAATTAGGGGAACCGGTTGGTGGGAGTGACGCGTGGTTGCCCCCGAGGTGGAGCCCCGGGCGGGGTCCTGGGGTGGTGCGTGCCACTTCTGGGAGGAGCAGGAGGCAAGAGCTGCAGGTCCTAATTGTCCCCGGGCCCACCCCACGCCTCAGGGCCCACGGGAAGGAAGGCTGCACGGTCACGCACCTGGGACCACGCAGTGGGACTCACCTCCCACCTGCAGGATGCCGTGTCTGGCCACGTCGTAGAAGGGGTGACTCAAGCTCAGGGCAGGGTCCTGGTCGGCCGTTGCCACCGCTGAGGGTCTTCGCACTGCGCCCAGCGCGGCTGCCTCCTCCTCATCTCTCTGCAGCTCTAGGGCGGACAGTGAGGAGGAGAGGAAGTCAGCTGTATGCTCCATGGAGGAGCATGAGGGGGCCTCCTGACGTCTTTTTATAGGACAGTCACCATGCCTCAGCTGTGCACCCACTACGCGCCCACTCTGCTGTGCACCCACTATGCGCCCACTCTGCTGTGCACCCACTATGCGCCCACCTCCGCTGTGCACCCACTATGCGCCCACCTCAGCTGTGCACCCACTATGCGCCCACTCTGCTGTGCACCCACTATGCGCCTGCTCAGTGTGCAGCACCATGGAAGAAGAAGAATGAGACCCGAGGGCTGGCTATTGGCCTTCACACTGACAGAAGTGGAACCTGCGGCTCAGAGAAGGGGAATGACTTCCCCAAGGTCACACTGCTAACTGGCACCAGGGTGTGGGCTGAACTCGATCTCCCGGCTCCAAACTCTGGCTCGGGCCCTTCCTGAAAGATGCTGGCACTGGGAGCTGGCAGCAAGCCATGGTGGGGTGGAGGGCAGACACTGGGTGGCTGTGCTGTGAGGCAGGAAGCGCGAGCAGTTTCCAAAGGGGACTTTGAGAAGGGGAAGCTCCTTCATACAAAACAAATCGAGGGGTTTTCAGAAATGTCTTCAGCTGGAAAAGCATGGGGGCTTCGAACCTCAGGTGAGGGCCGCCGATGCACTCAATGAGCAGGTCCCTCCACACCCCGCCCCCCTGGCACCTCCCAGGTGACCTTATTTGGGAGGCAGGGCCTTCAGAGACGAAAGGAGCTAGGATGAGGTCGCCCTGATGAGGGGGCCCTGGACCCAGCGAAGCTGGACTTCTCTGTGAGAAGGGAGGACGAGAGACACGAGGGAGAGAGTCCTTGCACCTATCTCGGCCAGCTCCTCCAAGTCCAGCCGGGCCATGCTCTGCGGTGGGCAGGGGGGCGGGCACACTGTCACGATGCCACCTCCTGGGGACCCGGGCAGGGGCTCCTTCTGACGCCCTGAGGGAGAAGCAGAGGAAGGGGGCGCATTTCACACGCATCTCCTGGATGGGGCTCCCCCCCCACCAGCCGGCCCCGGGGCCGGAGAGCAGGGCGGAGGGCCGTGCGGGTGGGAACAGCACCTGCAGGGCCCACGAACGCCCCGGACACCATCACGCCTGCCTCGCCACCCCCCTCAGAGACTCGCACACTCACTCCTGTGCCCATTGTACGGAGCGGGTAACTGAGGCCGGCAAAGATCAGTTAGAGCTGCTCACGGCTGCACAGCTGGTAACCATAACAAAAGCCAGGAGTCACCCTGTGCCTGGGACGCTGCCTCAACACCTGAAAGCATCTGAAAAAATCCCTGTGTGTCCAAAAACGAAATATTTTGTGTCCCTGGAAAGGAGTGAAGAACTGACACACACTAGGTTGCGGAGGAGCCTCGAGAACGTCACGCTACGTGGCAGCAGCCAGCACGGAGGCCACAGCGTGTCTGATTCCTCCGATACGAACAGGCAGCTCCAGAGGCGGGCAGCGGAGCGGGGCTGCCAGCGGGGGAGGAGGCACCAGGGGGACCGTGACGGCACGGGCTCTTTCGGAGGCGACGACAACGTCCTAAGGTGACTGGGTGCTGGCCGCGCCGTCTGTGAACACACCAGCAGGCTGAGCTGCACACTCTCCGTGGGCGGAGTGTGTGGCCTGTGAGCTGTATCGCAGCAGCGGTTTAAAAACATTAACAAGACAGGGTGAAAACAGCACGTAAGTTTGGTCCAGTATTTTAAGAGCAAAAAAAAAAAAAATGTTTAACATTGTTTTAAAAATGCTGTTTTCTGCCCTGGCCCATGTGCCCAGTGGTTAGAGCACTGGCCCGCACACCAAAGGGTCATGGGTTCAATTCCCATCAAAGTCACGTACCTGGGATGCAGGTTCGATCCCCGGCCCAGTCGGGGTGCGTTTGGGAGACAACCAATCAATGTGTATCGACCTTTCTCTCTCTCTCTCCCTCCCTCCCTCTCTCTCTAAACATCAGTGGAAAAATATCTTCGGGGAAGGATTAACAAACAGGTAAATAAATAAATAAAAGTGCTGTTTCCTATGAATTCTGGGGTTAGGATTTGTCAACCCATTTTTTTCCCCATGTTTGTCTTTTTATTTCCACTTTTGCAAAAGCCTGTATTGCTCTTAATATGAGATAATGTTATTTAAACTAACAAATGCATGATTGGTAATAGAAATATTTTATGATATAAACATATTAAAAACCTTGTCTCCTTAAAAAAAAAAACAACCAAAAATCCCCGCTAGCTTAGTGCCACTTCCAGCTCCATTTCACAGATGAGAAAACTGAGGTAGAGAAGGGAGTCGCCTGCCCAGATCCATGGCCCATTAAGGGGCAAGGCTGGAGGGCTGGCAGCGCCGGCCCAGGACTGACGGTGGTGCAGACCCGGGAGTGAGAGCCAGCTGGCCGGGCTGGCGCACACACAGGGTGCAGGCACACAGCACCAGGCAGGGGAGCCCAGCCCTGCCCCCAGGGCCCCACCTGGCCCCACCGCCCACCTTCTCCACGGAAGGAACGCACCGTCCTCCAAGTCCAGCCTTCCCCAAGCTGTGGCCGATCACTGGCGGGGGCCCTGGGGGTGACGCCAGGCCTGGGAGCCTGTCCTCAGCCCTGGCCGGGAGCCACTCTTCACCCGAGTGAAAGTGAGAAAAGAAACTCAATCGCCTGCGCAGCTCTAGGCAGGGCGGCAGGAGGCCTGAGGAGCTGAGAGCCCTCTCGTTTGGCTGTGGGCACACACCCAGCCTGGCTGCCGGAGGCAGGGTGCCCGGACTGGTGCTGCCCTTGGCAGTGGGGGCTGGGGGACTGTCCTGAGGGGGGCCTGCTGCCATCATTCCACTTGCACCTCACAACAGGCAGGGGCTCCCCGAAGTCTGATGATGGAAGGAGGCCACCCCCACTCCCTGCCCCCCAGCCCAGGTCCTAGAGTCCCGTGTGCCCTTCTGCGGTCCCGCCCGGAGGCTGAGCTGTCCCCAGCCAGACAAACACCTGGAGAGCAACCTTCTGCAGCACCAGGTGCCCCCCTGAAAACGCAGGGGACCATGGAAACACTCTAGCCCAGTGATGGCGAACCTTGTGAGCTCGGTGTGTCAGCATTTTGAAAAACCCTAACTTAACTCTGGTGCCGTGTCACATACAGAAATTTTTTGATCTTTGCAACCATAGTAAAACAAAGACTTATATTTTTGATATTTATTTTATATATTTAAATGCCATTTAACAAAGAAAAATCAACCAAAAAAATGAGTTCACGGGTCACCTCTGACCCGCGTGTCATAGGTTCGCCATCACTGCTCTAGAACATTTCTGGTTGAAAGCCTGGCAGGAGGCCGAGCCCACCAGGGCGAACAGCTGCAACAGTCCTCGTCCTCGGCCCAGGTCTGCCCGCGGGAGAGGCCTCCCGGCACCGACGCCCAGGGGCACACGGAGCCCTGAAACCAGGAAGCCGCTTCCCCTCCCCGCCTCCGCTTTACCCAAAAGGGACGTTCCGTCCGGTTTCCCTTCAGGGTCAAAACCTCGACCCCATCGGCCGCAGGGACACTACCATTTGTTCTGAAGTTGGCTCGCTTGGCGGGTGTCACCCATAACCAGTGCTTTGTTGTGGCAACAGCAGCTAGTTGTTGGGGATCTGGTGGGGGGGCCCGCGAGCCTCCCTCCCCACAGGGTCTTATAGTTGAGAGTAAAATATGGCCGCCCCCAGGCTCAGGCACCCAGGAGCCTGGACCAGAGTCCGGGCCGCTCCCCACCCTACTGTGCGCGGCCAGCAGGGAGAGGCCTGGGCCCGGGGAGGCCAGCGCCCTATCCTCCCCGGCCCAGGAGCGGGTGGCGGGTGGAGGCGCCCCGGGCAGTGCTCCCGCAGAGGCTGGCCCACCCGCCGTGAGGGGACGTCTCCGTGTCAGGGTGGCTGGCCTGCGGCCCCGCTGTCCGGTCAGACACAGGCCCCGGTGCTGCCGGAGGCACGCGCGGATGTATGTGTGAACATTTACAGTCGGTACTTTCTGAGCAAAGCAGGCCATCGCCAGGCTGCGGGTGGGCCCCGTCTAATCAGTTCAAGGCCTGAAGAGCAAAAAACGAAGGTTTTCGGAGAAGGAATCCTGCCTCAAGGCCACAACCGGAATTCCCGCCTGTTTCCAGCCGCGTGGCCTGCCTTACAGGCCGGGCCGGGCCGGTCCCCACAACCAACGCCTTAGACGGCTCTGCAGTCGGCCCGGCGTATCCGCGGCTTCCGCACCCGCTCAGCCAACCCCAGATCAGAGAGATACTTTTTACGATGGTGCACGTTGCTGGCGTGTAGCATGTGGCAGGTCTACGCGGTCGCATCTGTATGGAAAGCGTGCAGACCTTTTCTCTTCAGCATTCCCCGAACAAGCCAGCCTCAGCACTGTCCCCACAGCACGCACGTGGCAGGTCGCGTAAGTAATCTAGGGAGGGCTACGGTTCACGCAGGTGTGCGGAGGCTCCCCGCACATACACCGTTTCACACAAGGGCCTGGCGCGTCCGTGTAGTCTGGTATCTGCGGGGGTTGTGGACCCAGTCCCTGTGGTTACCGAGGGACAACTGTGCATAAGTACTTCCTGTAAGTTCGGTTTCTCTGGACAACCTGATACAAGCCTCGTATACCCTCAGAGTTCTCCTTCCTGTGGATTATCAGAATCACAGAACAGCGCAGCCAGCGTGGCTCAGTGGTTGAGCGTCGACCTATGAACCAGGAGGTCACGGTTCAATTCCCGGTCGGGGCACATGCCCGAGCTTTGGGCTCGATCCCCTGGTGTAAAACATGCAGGAGGCAGCTGATCAGTGATTCTCTCTCATCATTGATGCTTCTCTCTCTCTCCCCCTTCCTCTCTGACATCAATTAAAATATATATTAAAAAAAAAAAGAATCACAGAATAGTGGGAGCCAGGAAGGATCCTGGTGAACGTCGTCCGCCATCAATTGTCCCTGAGGCCCAGAGAGGGTAAGGGACTTGCCCAAAGCAACACAGCAAGTGTGTGCAGAGCTGTCTCCTGACTCCAGCCTAGAACCAGAGTGACTCCACATCTGATGGAAAATGTCAAACTTTTTTTTTAACCCAAGAGAAAGAGCATATTCAGCACCCCCCGCCCCCAAGCAGATTCTTCCTCATCCTTGTGTCCAGGCCACGGTGTCATTCCTCAGTCTCTGCGCTGGGACCCCACTCTCTTCCTGGAAAGTTGTCTGAACTGTTACTTAAATCTCTGGCTGCCAATCAATGTCCTGCATTTACTACCGGTCCCTGGGTCATCTCCCCCTCGGGCTGTCTGACTCATCCCGGGGAAGCTGTTTTACAAGCCTGCGGTGATAGATGGGGGGGGGGGGGGGGCGGCACACAATCACTCTTGTCTGTAGATGCGGATTCTGTCCTGCCCAGTGGAGGTTCATTCACTTCTCTCCCTACCCCCGCGCTGCCCACCAAGGTCCAAATTTGCCTCCCTCTCACGTCGTTTTCCGTATTTCTGACCATAAACACCTGCCCTTCGGACTCTCTTTCCAACCAGCGATCACGTCGGCCAGGTTCCCTCCCGAGTCAAATAAAATCTTTAACGCGTGTTCATGTTTACACCATAAGACAGGCCTGCTTTATCCTTCCTGGAACGATCCTTTAATGTGCCTTCGCGCTGGGCCCCAGCCCTCGGCCAGGAGCAGGCACTGAATGAGGCATTTTCCTTCTCTATTTTGGTTAATCCTCACCCGAGGATATTTTTCCATTGATTTTTAGGGAGAGTGGAAGAGAGAGGGAAAGACAGAGAGAAACACATCGACTAGCTGCCTCCTGCAGGAGCCCTGACCAGGACCCGGGGCGGGGAGGAGCCTGTTGCAACCAAGGTACGTGCCCTTGACTGGAATCGAACCAGGGACCCTTTGGTCTGCAGGCTGACGCTCAACCACTGAGCCACACTGGCCAGGGCGGGGGAGGCATGTCTGTCCCACCTCACCCTCCG